AAAAAAACGGTTAGAACTCTCTTACGAGACACCCAAAGTTCGAGTTATATTAAACGATTTTGAAGAGATAAAACATTTTAACAGTGTTAGCGGACCTTTTGTGTTGTAAAAAAATTGTGCCTGAGAAAGTGTAAAAACAAGGATAGCGGTCACCAAAAACTTGACCGCTCCAACTACAGTAGATTTAGATAAATGTTTACTGCAAAATTGTGCCTGAGAAAGTGTAAAAACAAGGGTAGCGGTCACCAAAAACGTGACCGCTCCAACTACAGTAGATTTAGAGAAATGTTTACTGCAAAATTGTACCTGAGAACGTGTTAAAACAGAATGGTTTCAGCAACAACGTGACCGCTCCGACTACAGTAGATTTACAATAATGTTTACTGCAAAATTGTGCCTGAGAACGTGTTAAAACAAAATGGCCAGTCAGCAACGTGACTGCTCCGACTACAGTAGATTTACAATAATGTGTACTGCAAAATTGTGCCTGAGAACGTGTTAAAACAAAATGGCCGGTCAGCAACAACGTGACTGCTCCGACTACAGTAGATTTACAATAATGTTTACTGCAAAATTGTGCCTGAGAACGTGTTAAAACAAAATGGCCGGTCAGCAACAACGTAACCGCTCCGACTACAGTAGATTTAGAATCACGTTTACTGCAAAATTGTGCCCATCCGTTTGTGTCAGTTAGTGGCATACGCCGTATACTTTCTTATTTCTGTTAAAGCAAAGAGCATAGCTTCAAAGGTTGCACTGTACAAATTATATTCTTCATATGTGTCACGTTGTAGCAATTTCGAGAAAGGAAATCCTTATATTTCGAATGCCGATGCTCATATTTCGGGTTTGGGCTACCTGTGGTGCCACCACTAAAACTTCCCTATATTGTGTGAACAAAGCCTTAGAATCACGTTGACTGCAAAATTGTGCATACAAACGTTAAAAACCGAAAAAAAGCGATGAGAAACAACCTAACCGCTCGAAATACAGTAGTCAAAATGAAATGGCCGTTGAAAAACATCAGCGAAAGAAGAAAGAATTGGCTTTGAACAAATTACAAATAATATAATATAGGTTAGTGGCAAATGCAAACATTACAGATGCAAATGGTTTTTATAATGTTGCAGTAATCACACCTTGATGTAAAGATTATTAGAGAATACAGGAGTAGAGAGAGAGAGAGAGAAAGAAAGATTGTATCAGTGCCACACCCCTCGGTGTAATTTTCAATTTAAATGCATTCGCTTATTAGGAAATGCAATTAAGAAAAGTGAATACTGAGAGAAAGACTCCTGAAATAGAAAAGAGAAGCGTGACGTCACGTTACCGTGGGAGCAAAATTTCTGGATCACAACAATATGGAGCTAAGCAACGATGACGGCAACGGCAACGAGAACGGCAAAAAAGCAATAGATTTATGTTAGCAAAAAAACAACAACAACAACAACAACTCATCACGCCTTTTTGTACATTTCGTTGCACGACTGCAACATGAAACGTACTTATTTCACGCGCCCGCTTTAAGGAGTTGGTGAACACAACGTGAAAATGTTCTTTTCCTTTTTCGTAACTTAGATACTGGCCTTTGGGATTTAACCCCAGAAAAGGTCGACAACATTTGACAAATTAAATGAAATTGGATAAGATCCATGAAGATTGAACTTTCAGTTTGTTGTCATGCAGAAATTTTGCTACCATGTCAACGTGACAAAACGACATCTCTTCTCTATTCTGGGCTCGAAATAATTTCCCGAGAGTCTCCGGACACGATGACCGGCCAAATCCATTTTAGCTCGGTCACGTGTCGTTTCTGGCCGGTCAAATTTGTAAGATAAATAACTCTTAAAACAGGGGCCCATGAGCCAAAACTGGCGTTACATATTTCCAAAAAAGTCACTGCTTAGAGGTTCTAGCACTTTAAAGCACTCATTAACAACAAGTAAAACAAAAATTACAGCGGCAAAATGAAAATGAGCTAAATTAGTATTGTCAATTGTAGCACCAATGACGTCCTGACATTCAAAATACGTACTGGGCTTACTTTTGTTTTGTATTGCTTCAAATGAACCTTCTCGATATACAATGATATGCGAGTCACCTCTTCTTGAAAAAGATGTTTTGAATTGATCCCAAACCAAGACGAGTTCGTTCCAGCGTGTGATCTACCCGTTTCGTAAACTTTGGAGAGGGTCGAGATGGAGAATACAGAGAAGAATATCTATGCCGATGTGGTTCCTCGCTTTCCAGAGCATTTGCAGGAAACGATGAGTAAGCTGCCCCTAGAGACACAACAACGTTTATATGTGGACATTTTCAAGCCACTGGACTTTTACGAACTACTGTTTGAGTACTTTAAGGAAAAAGATGGCGCGCAAAACTCCAGCGACAGTGAAAATAAACGTTGAATGTTGAACTGTTGAAAAAGTTGTGCGATATTACAAAAAGGAACACTAAACCTCTGTAATGAGAAGTTTGCCGGAGGGAGAGAGAGTGTAAGTTAACACGCTTCACGATTTCTATGACTGATTTCTTTGCACCCAAATTCTTAAGTACACTGAAGTTGATGACTGTGCACCTCAGATGTATAATTTATTGCTCTCCTTCTTGTATACTTGTACTTTTTTTCAGTACAGCGATCAAATTGTATTCGTCAGATATTGTAAGATATTATATCAGCTTTGTGTGGTTATCTGCCCCTTGTTACGTAACTTACTTTTTTATCCGTTTGCGTCAGTTAGTCACATGCGCTGTACTTTCTTATTTCTGTTAAAGCAAAGAGCATAGCTTAAAAATTGCACTGTACAAATTATATTCTTCAGATGTGTTACGATTAACGTTGTAGCAATTTCGAGAAAAGAAATCCTTACATTTCGAATGCCGATGCTCATATTTCGAGCTTGGGCGACCTGTGGTGCCGCCCCCGGGCCGTTAGTAGGGATCTTACGATCCGACAACGGCGACGTCCATGAAATAGACTCCGTATCCTTACAAACCATTTCGCCATCATCCCAAGTCGCCCAGTTACTTAAAAGAAGGGAATTTATGTTGGAGCTGAAGAGAGGGGGCCGCACTTAAGTTCAGAAAGAGATGGTAGAATTTAACACCATGCTGTTCCCGTCCTCGAAAAAAACTTAAAATTTGGTCATTTCACGCCGTAGTCGTGCAGGGACGGCAAAGAAATGTAGAAAAAAAGCATGATGCACGTGCAGAGCTGTTGTTCTGCTAACTAAACCTATTGCTTTTTTAACTTGCTGTTTCCGTCGCCGTCGTAGTTTCGTAAGGTCCCTATTTTTCATACTCTACCGGGAAGTGAGCGGTGAGCAATAACCTAACCGCTCTAACTACAGTAGTCAAAATGAAATGGCCGTTGAAAAACATCAGCCAAAGAAGAAAGAATTGGCTTTGAAAAAATTACAAATAATATAATATAGGCTAGTGGCAAATGCAAACATTACAGATGCAAATGGTTTTTATAATGTTACAGTAATCACACCTTGATGGACAGATTATCAGAGAATACAGGTGTACAGAGGGAGGAAGACAGAGAGAGAGAAAGAGAAAAATAGTATTAGTGCTACACCGCTCGGTGTAATTTTCATTTTAAATGCATTCACTTATTGGGAAATGCAATAAGGAGAAGTGAACACTGAGAAAAATACTGCTGAAATAGAAAGGAGAAGTGTGACGTCACGTTACCATGGGAGCAAAATTTCTGGATCACAGCAATATGGAGCTCAAGCAACGACGACGGCAATGGCAAGAAAGCAATAGGTTTATATTAGCCCCCAAAAAAACTCATCACGCTTTTTTGTACATTTCTTAGCCGTCGTTGCACGACTGCGACATGAAACGTCCTGATTTGACGCGCCCTTTTTATGGAGTAGGTAAACAGATCGGAAAGGTATTCTTTATTTTTTCTTAACTCAGATACGGGCCTTTCGGATTCAACTCCAGAAAGTTTCGCCAATATTTGACAAATTAAATGAAAATGGATAAGATCGATGAAGTTTGAAACATTGCAAATTCAGTTTTTAAGTGAATTTTCGGTTTGTTGTGATCCAGAAATTTTGCTACCATGGCAACGTGACGTAACGAGTTCTCCTCTCCATTATCTCAATTGTAGCACCAATGACCTCCTGACATTCAAAATACGTAATAGGCTTACTTTTGTTTTGTATTAAATGCATCAAATGACTCAGTTAAACAGTGATACGCGAGTCACCTCTCCTGGAAAAAGCTGTTTGAAATTGGTCCCAAACCAAGACGAGTTCGTTCCAACCTGTGATCTATCCGTTTCGTAAACTTTGAAGAGGTTCGAGATGGAGAATACAGAGAAGAATATCTATGCCGATGTCGTTCCTCGCTTTCCAGAGCATTTGCAGGAAACGATGAGTAAGCTGCCCCTAGAGACACAACAGCGTTTATATGTGGACATTTTCAAGCCACTGGACTTTTACGAACTACTGTTTGAGTACTTTAAGGAAAAAGATCGCGCGCAAAACTCCAGCGACAATGAAGATAAACGTTGAATGTTGTTGCAAAAAGGAACACTAAACCTCTGTAATGAGAAGTTTGCCAGAGAGAGAGAGAGAGAGAGAGTGTAAGTGAACACGGTTCACTATTTCTATGACTGATTTCCTTGTACACAAATTCGTAAGTAAACTGAAATTGACGACTGTACTCCTCAGATGTATAATTTATTGCTCTCCTTCTTGTATACTTGTATTTTTGTCAGTACAACGATCAAATTGTATTGGTCAGGTATTGTAATATATTATAACAGCTTTTTGTTTTTATCTGTCCCTTGTTATGTATCTTAGTTTTTCATCCGTTTGCATCAGTTAGTTGCATACGCTGTACTTTCTTATTTCTGTTAAAGCAAAGAACATAGCCTCAAAGATTGCCCTGTATAAATTCTATTCGTCAGATGTGTTACGTTTTAGCACTGTTGTTGTATTTATTTTTGATGTGATTTTGAAGTAAAGATAATTTAAACGCATTTTAAAAAGGTTCTTAAATAATGTATTTTTGCCCCTATTCGATGCGCAACCTTCATATACTGTTTGTTACAACGCTGTGAATGTATGGACGTTTTGATAGGTTTTTAGCCAGAACCATTTTCCAGCTGTAATGGTCAAGTCCACACCTTGCCTTTATTTAAACTTGGAGGTACAAGTGCTGTGTAAAATGTTATGCTGTGTAGAAAAGAAAAAAACCGGGTAGAACTCTCTTACGAGACACCCAAAGTTCGAGTTATATTAATCGATTTTGAAGAGATGAAACATTTTAATAGTGTTAGCGGACCTTTTGTGTTGTAAAAAAAATTGTGCCTGAGAAAGTGTAAAAACAAGGATAGCGGTCACCAAAAACGTGACCGCTCCAACTACAGTAGATTTAGAGAAATGTTTACTGCAAAATTGTGCCTGAGAAAGTGTAAAAACAAGGGTGGCGGTCACCAAAAACGTGACCGCTCCAACTACAGTAGATTTTGAGAAATGTTTACTGCAAAATTGTACCTGAGAACGTGTGAAAACAAAATGGCTTCAGCAACAACGTGACCGCTCCGACTACAGTAGATTTACAATAATGTTTACTGCAAAATTGTGCCTGAGAACGTGTTAAAACAAAATGGCTTCAGCAACAACGTGACTGCTCCGACTACAGTAGATTTACAATAATGTTTACTGCAAAATTGTGCCTGAGAACGTGTTAAAACAAAATGGCCAGTCAGCAACAACGTGACCGCTCCGACTACAGTAGATTTACAATAATGTTTACTGCAAAATTGTGCCTGAGAACGTGTTAAAACAAAATGGCTTCAGCAACAACGTGACTGCTCCGACTACAGTAGATTTACAATAATGTTTACTGCAAAATTGTGCCTGAGAACGTGTTAAAACAAAATGGCCGGTCAGCAACAACGTGACCGCTCCGACCACAATAGATTTAGAATCACGTTTACTGCAAAATTGTGCCTACGAACCTTCTAGAACAAGAAGGGTGGTCAGCAATAACGTGACCGCTCGTTATACAGTAGATTTAGAATCACGGTTACTGCAAAATTGTGCCTGCGAACGTTCTAGAACAAGAAGGGTGGTCAGCAATAACGTGACCGCTCTTGATACAGTAGATTTAGAATCACATTCACTGCAAAATTGTGCCCACGAACGTTCGAGAACAAGAATGGCGGTCAGCGGTCAGCAACAACGTGACCGCTCTGACTACGGTAGATTTAGAATCACATTCACTTCAAAATTGTGGCCACGAACGTTCGAGAATAAGAATGGCGGTCAACGGTTAGCAACAACGTGACTGCTCTGACTACAGTAGATTTACAATCACATTCACTGCAAGATTGTGCCCACGAACGTTCGAGAACAAGAATGGCGGTCAGCGGTCAGCAACAACGTGATTGCTCTGACTACAGTAGATTAAGATTCACATTCACTTCCAAATTGTTTGCACGAACGTTCTAAAACAAGAAGGCTCGTCAGCAACAACGTGACCTTTCTGAATACAGTAGATTTAAGACATGTTCACACTATACCGGATAGTTTCTGCGCCGTCACGCAAATCTTACCGGATAGGGTTTCTCTTCACACATAAGAACGGTTGTGGCGGCGAGGTTTCTGTGACGGTGCGAAGTTGCGCCGCGCCGACCACGAAAGTGGAGAGTCACATATCGGATAGGTTTTGTGCCGCGCAGTGTGAACATCTATTCGGCCCGTCACGGAAGTAAATAGGCTGATTTAGCAACAGAACAGGAACGTCAGTTGACGACGGGGAAGCGCGCGGAAAGGACTAAACACGACTTCCGGTGCCCAATTTGCCGCTCTGGCATTGGTCAAGCCAGTCGTTTGATTTGCGCGCGCGGTCGTCAACTAACGTTCCCGTTCTGTTGCTAAATCACCCTAATAAATAGGAGCGAGGACTGGAATCCACTGATACGGAAGTGAATATTTAGGAGTTAGGACTGGAATGTAGTCCACCAAGCCCTCTCGGCCAACAGTGCCAGCACGATGTTCGATGTGTGTTAACGACTTGTGCTGCCCCGGGCAGTTTCTGTTCATACTCCAACGGATCTTTTCGTAGCGCTAGTGTGAACGTAGCATTAGTAAAATTGTACCTAAGAACGTTATAAACCAAAAAGGGCGCTCAGCATCAACGTGACGCTACGATTAATACTTTTGTTTCGTAAGTTTTCTTGTATCTTTTTTTCTTAGCCCAGTCTATTTGTAAGAGTATGAGCATGAAGGCCATGCGAAGTGGAAGATTGGGGGCGGCCTTAGCGTGGTGCCTCAGATCAAAGGTAATGTACTTTTACCCTTTAACTTCTGATAGTGCGCAAAGATGAAATTTATAAGTTGCTTCAACCCTCGTTTTGAAAACGAGGGTAAGAGGGGCGAAGTCTTTGTCTTTGTTCTTTCGTGCAGGCAAAACTCGTTTTTGCATGAATGTTTTGCTCTTAACCTCACTTATAGCCTATAGAGAGGAGAAGTGGTTACGTCACGTTGCCATGGTAGCAAAATTTCTGGATGAACGTCACTTAAAAGGTAAATTCGCGCTCTTTCAAACTTCATCGATCTCATTCAATTTCATTGAATTCGTCAAATTTGGCGAAATTTTCTGGGGTTAAATCCGAAAGGACCGTTTCTAAGTTTAGAAAAGGAAAGAGAACATTTTTGTGTTGTGCTCACGTAAAAGTGGGCGCGCGAAATTGGGAAGTTTCATCCCGCAGTCGTGCGACAACGGCTACGAAGTGTACAAAAAAGCGTGATGCACATGAAAAGTAGTTGTTTTAATAATATATAGCTATTGCTTTTTTGCCGTTCTCGTTATCGTCGCCGTCTTCGTTGCTTAAGCTCCCTACTCTTGTGATCCAGAAATTTTGATACCATGGTAACGTGACGTCAGACTTCTCCTCTCTATTAAAAGGCTACATTAAGGGGAAAAACTAACAGTCATACCCACTTTACACAGTATAACCAGCAGCACCACAGTGCACCCATCAACCTATAAACGGCACAGTAAAGTATGATGGCTCTTATTTGTATGAATATTAGACAACACAATTAATCTCTATGCCCTCAGGTTAGTTCCTCAAAAAGGCACATCACTGGCAACCAAAAGATTGGTACAGGCATGCTCGTTCCAGGGTTCTCTTCGGCTCATTCTCTCTCTTGCTCTGGGGGACGAGTGGGAGAGAACCCTGGGAACGAGTATGTGGTGCAACGTATCACATGAACGCCATCACTTTGTTGTGAAAAGTCATTACTCTTAAATTTTTTAAAAAACTTTTTTGGATGAAGTTGCAGTTTTTGAATTTCCCTTTCTCTTCTTTTATTTGCAGGATTCTACATTTGCTGCATTCATTTCAGAAAGGTATGTAGAGCATAGGGTTAATAGAGAGAAGAAGTCGTTACGTCACGTTGCCATGGTAGCAAAATGTTTGGATGACAACAAACCGATAAAGTCACTTAAAAGTCCATTCGCACTCTTTCAAACTTCACCGATCTTATTCAATTTCATTTAATTTGGCAAAATTTGCTTTGGGACCGTGTCTGTCGTTATCTAAGTGTAAAACAAGAAAGCGACAACTTTTGTGTTTTGTTCACCTACTCCATAAAGCGGGCTTGTGAAATTAGGAAGTTTCCAGTGTCGTAGTGGTACAACGACGGCAAAGAAATGTACAAAATAGCGTGATGCACGTGCAAAGTTGTTGTTTGTCAATATAAACATATATTTTTGGCCGTCGCCGCCGTCGTTGGTTTTGTTGTCATCCAGAAATAGTGCTACCGTGGTAACGTGACGTCACACTTGTCCTCTCTATTTTATTGTTTGCACTAAGAGATCATCTTAGGACACTGTCCTATTATGATCTCTTGGTTGCACTTAGTTTCGAAAAAAAAAATATACAAAATGAAATCTTGACTTCTACTAGGGCGGAGACCTGATCTCAACTGCCAGTTAGCCGTAATCGCTAAGGAAGTTCGAGAGATTCAAACTCTAGCTTGAATCGCTCTGAGTGAGGAAATTTTTAATGTAAAATTTAAAATTTTTTGGATTTTTTTATTAAGTTCTTATAGCAGTAATAAGCTAACTCATACGGTAAGGGTCAGTGAAAAAAACGTTTGGAAACGTCAAAACGAAGGTACCTCATTTTGTGAAGCTTCAGAATGAGGGTTTTTCACAGTGACCTTGTCTATGAATAAGGCAGAGGGCTTTGTTCATGTCAGCTTCGTTTTACCTTAATGTTTTTTTTTGCATTTCTTTCTTCTGTACAGGTTCTTATCAGAGTACTGCAAGAGTGGCGGGTTTTCCAATCTTGATTTGATCGATAATCTTGGATCTGCCATGCTTCTCAGTGATCGGCTCACTTTTCTAGGTAACAAAAAGCAACTGAAAATGCATGCTACCGGTACCATGTGCGCGGGAAAATGCATGCAACTGGCAATAAGACGGGAAAAGAAATGTTGCCAACGCCAAGGATCGGGAAAAAGCATGCAAGTGGCATCACGCGCGAGAGAAAAAGCATGCAACTGACGATAAGCGCGGGAAAAGATATGCCACCAGCCCTAAAGCGCGGGAAAATGCATGCAACTAGCGATAAGTGCGGAAAAAGATATGTCACTAGACCCAAAGGGCGGAAAAATGCATGTAACTGGAATCAAGCGCGCTAGAAAATGCATGCAACTGGCGATAAGCGCGGGAAAAAAACAGGTTCTGAGCGCGGGATAAAGCATGTCATCAGCGCCAGGCGCGCGGGGAAACGCACACGAGCAAGTCACGATGTCACTGCCTGAGAGGGTAACGCATTTCTGTCAAAATCAATCATGGCAAAACCAAACCGCATATTTTCTATTAAAACTACAACGGCTTTAGCAATTTGTTTTGGTTTCGTGATAAAAATACTGAAATCCTGTCAGTTCCCGATTTTATATCTTCGTCGATAACCTTTTCTCTGGTCCGTTTGAATACGTCTTCAATTAGTTATTGATCATAATATGTTTTACCTCAGGGAAGTACCGCGAGTTTCATAAGATGTACGAAGAAGGCAAGTTTCATGAAGCTGCTCATCTGCTGATCTCGCTGCTGACATCTAAGCTTGCTCCGCAGAGGTAAGGGAGACTTGTTGCTATCTCTCTTGTGGAGTTACGATAGGCTAGGCCTTGATAACTGAATCCCTCTGTGTTATACATAAATACTGCTTTAATTTAAATCATTGTACTCGTGGAAGAGGTGTAGAATTACACATTCTACCTACCACCTTGCTTGGAAAAAAAAAACGCGCCACTTTTGTATTGCCCTTAATACACTTCTTTACCCCCAAAATTTGCATTGACATTGTTTTTGAAAGTATTTTCAAGGCGATTTTTCCTTGTTAAATTCCCAAGGAATACCAAATGATCTCCCTCAAAAGTCGGTATATTTAAGCTATAGTCTTGAAGTTTAAAATTTGATGTTCGTCCGCCGTCCGCTATCCTTATCGAAGATACGCGCTGTAAATCATCATTTTTGATGATTAACTAAACAAAAAGTGAAAATGCGCAATTTTAAGAACGTTATATTAAAAAAGACGCTCTCGTATATTTTTTCAAACCTTGCCAAGGTAAAGGTAACGGACAAAATTATTATTACACCAGAGGATTTTAACGGATTATTGCTAGATTTTGAGAAAATTCCCAATTTACCACCGTTATTCTGTTGCTATGGAAGCGGCGATGTCAACAAAACCTGTTCTAAATTAAGTTCGAGTTTAGATACGTTGATTGACATTGTGCCTTTTTCGTAATGCACTACAGCCAAAGTAATGGGGCATCAAACGCGAAGAGGTGAAGCCTTGAAAAATGCGTGCGAGCCTCCTTAAAGTCACCAAACCTCTTATATGTCTGCCCTCTAAATTGGCTTTAACCCATTCGCCCCTGAACCGCCCGTAACCGCCCGTGCGGATCCAGGTCCTTTCTACCCTTTGTGACGTCATCAGTTTTAACGGTCAAGGACAACTTTCTTCGCTAACTTGTGCAGAGTGAAGAGATCTTTCAAACCATACCAGAATGAGCACAATTCAGTCAAGGACACCGGAGAAAGAAGCAAAAAACCACGTGACAAGGACCTGAAAATTTCCACGAAAATCTTGTTCCATTACCCACCTACCTTTCCTTTCACCTAATCCTAAGATCCTAAAAGCTTTCCTAAAAACTCTTCCCACCAAAATGAAGCCTACTAAATGCCCAGCAAGAGAAAAAAATGAGGCAAGAAAAGCGAAATTTTGCTTTCTACGCATGCCCGAACTTCGCAAGCTGATATTTTGCATCTGGATCAGAAGGCCGCCAAGTGTACGACCTGTAAACCGGTTTGTGGTAAGTTTTAGCTCTTTATAGCACGACAGTGACCAGAAAACCACTCGACTAGCTTCAAAACGCGTTTTTCGGCAAAGTCTCCAGGAGCGAATGGGTTAATAAAACAACCTAAAAAACACAACGTCATGACCACATCCGAAGCCTTTTTTTCCCTTTTTTGTCATTTTGCCTTTTACCTCGAATCGGCGACAAAATTAGTGAGAGCCTTTGCCTTAAAAGGCCTTTCCGACAGTTGCCGAGTTCAAAAGGAGAAAATGAAGCTCTCTCTCCCCCACCCCGTTCATACAATACATCAGGGGAGGGGTGTGGATTGTTTTTGTCCTCGGAAGTTACCCCATTGTCTCAATGATTTTGTCGCAGATTGTGTGTTGCTCATCAGCGGAGGCATACCACCGACTATATCAAATTCTTGTCACATTCTCTGGCATGTTTAAATGATTCTTGAGCTGCTTATTCCACCGCCCGAACCTGGATGAAAGTGTAAAAGCAGTTAATCCTATTTCGCGCTTTATCGACAAAAGCCCTGCCCTTAAACTGGAACGGAATTCTATTTTGGGTCGGATAATCCGTTTCACTTTTCACTTACACACGCGCCGCATATCTTTATCATATTCTCAGATATGCCGACACGTTATGTTACTTGTTCGCAAGTTGATTAATTTTGATACAAGATTTTTTCAGACTAACTACGATTCTCTTTGTTGCGAGTCTAAAATCGTTACTCTTGCCCACAAAAATAGGCTACCATTGACGTTATCCTCTCCAATATTATTTATTTATATATTTATGTATTTACGTTCGCCAATTCTTGGCAGGGTCACCACAACATCGCGTGGCGCCAAATACGGCTGGCCCGTAACAGTCCTCCCCCCCTCCTCCCCCTCCCCCATGAGAGAGACCACCACACCGGGGACTACGTTCCAGACTCTTTACGAACAATGCGTTGGTTCTATAACGCCCCACAGATTTTAGATGTGCAAGGGTTGTGAGACGGGCCCTACGGTTTATCGTCCTTATCGGAGAAGACTAGAAAGCCTAACCTTTTGCACATGTCTTTACAAAGGCAGCACTTTCTCCTGAGTGTTGGTCCGGCCGTGGTTTGAATCAGCAGCATCCCGCTCGGCGTACCGGCGCTTATCCAATTGAGCTAACCGGACGGAGGTTAAAGTAATGACGATTCGTTCCTTCAAGAGGGTTGCTATGAACTAAGACAAACAAAACTATTACCGTGTAGCAAGTTCTTTAACTCCTAAGATTTTCAGTTATCGACCGTCTTCCGGACATTTGCCTTACGTAGTTTGATCATCTGTTTCCCTTTCAGCTGCCAGCTATTTTCCGTCGAGGGTTGCTTTTCGAGTTTCTTTGAGCTCCGAAAAATAGTTAAAACTTTCAGTTTGATAGTAGCCTATGAAAACACTTTGCCTGTGAAATAAATGGGACTATGCAAATTTGAAAGTTCTGCCACAGAACTGTTTGCCTATGGGTGAAACGGTTAAGTGTTAAGCCTTACAAGAAAATTTGTTCTCGTTCGTTTCTCTAAGATGTTTGCTGTGACGTACACCGAATAAGGCCTTTCTTTTTTAAGAGCGATTAGTTGCTGGATTGTTCCTTTCCAGATCTACTCCCTCAACAGTAGTTTTCACAAAGTAAAAAAATATTATAAAATTATTTAAGTCTTAACATGCGCAACTTTTCTTTTTCTTGGTTAGGAAAATACCTAACCATCCCCTTCCATAAACAAATATCCCCGGGGACTTGCAAGCAAACATAAAAAATATCGAAACGGCCCTGACAACGTTCCAGTGCTATAATGCCGGGTGGTAAGAAGTATGTGATCGGATTAAAAAATTTTTTTGCGTACAGCGAAACAACACAAGTTAGGTTAGGGTTCAGCGATAGACGAGGATTACAGCTTGTGAATTTTTTTTCGTAACAAGCAGTACAGAAATCAACATGTTTCAAATTTTCATTTCTCGTATTTCTCTCCCTAATCCTCGGTTTTTTGGTGAGTCTTGAGTCGTCTTTCAAAGTAATAAAACAAGCATCATGGCTATTTCGGAAGCCCATTTTTTCCAGGTTATTCTTTATCTGATTTGCCGCGAGTGCAGGCACGTATTTGAATCATGCTTCCGCTGTTTATTTCACCGCCCTTGGCTGGGTGACGGAGAAGGCGTATACAGGGGCACCCAACGACGGTTTCCTTCTAAATACGTTGAAAACACGTTTCCGGCTATCCAGAGTACTTTTAGATCTCTAGAAATGCATTCTAAGCGGAGCTTTAAAATTTGTATCTTTTTTGTCATCTTAGGCGAACTTGAGTCTTTTCGAAATTACAAGGGCTTCAGTATTATTTTCCCGAAAATTTTAGATGCAATTTAACGTTTTACGAAAGTAAGAATTTTTCTGATCCCTGTCTCCATCACATTTTTAAATCCGAAAAATTCAAGTTTCCTTTTTTCTAGAACAAAAAAGCCTAACATGGGGAGTGAAATGTTAAAAAATTGAACTTCAGAAAATCATAGGGAATTAATTGGATAAGCTTCGAAAGTTCTTCATGAATGGAGCGTCCATCTAGAAATTTTTAGCTGTCCTCAAGTATTAAATATTGAGAAAATTCTAGGCAATATTTGCTTCTCCGAACAGATATTTTACAGAAAACAGTCGTTGGGGGGCCCTGGCGTATACACACCATTTATCCAATCTTATACTACATCAAAAGACCTCAATCTGCTCTAAGACTAGACGTAATTCTCTCTTTGGAGAATTAATCCTTCGATTCAATTCTGACACGCGCTTAATATTTTTGTCATGACCTTTGAACAGTTATGCCTACGCGTATAGTTGTTCGCAAGTTATCAGCTTTAAAATAGGATTTCAGGACAAGATTATGATTAATGATGATCCTACTCCCACGAGTGTTGTCGGTCTTTTAACTTCTAATAGTGCCGGAATGGCCATTATGCAAAGTTTCCAAAAAAAATTCAAAGTACCTTTTTGTAAAAAAAAAAAAAGTTTTGTCGAAGAGGTTTTACTTCAACGGTAACACCATAGGATTTCGTCAGCTGAAACTATCAAGCATTTTTAGGTGTGATAATATGTACTAATCTGTCAAAGATTATACGGTAATACTATTTTAATATCTATTCAGTCTGTGCCGCTTTATTTATAGCTGTTATCTTTCTGAAGTGTTTTAACCCTGTTCGCCAGTCCTAAAACTACCTTAGCCAGCCTACAAGAATAGGTTACCCCAGACTAAGCTCTCTGTTTTGTATAGCAACTAACAATGAAATCAGCTTGTTAGCATCTAGAAGAAAGCTTGCTTGCTCTCTTTAGCTCTTTCGAGTGGTATGACTCGCATAGTTGTTAACATATTTTTTTTTTACGTAGTATCAAGTTTAATTTGCTTCTTTGTCTGTGATGCGGTTCTTATTTTAGAATAAGCCGCCCCCGTCGATAAACTCTCACCCTCTTCAAGACGACTAAAGCTTGTTAAGGAGATTTCGTACAGCCGTTTATAATTCAGATTGTTTATGAAACCGAGTATAGCCGGTCTCAATCAACAAAGAGTCCTTCCAGAAATGCTTTCAAACCAAGGTTAGGTTTCTTATTTCTCCCCAAAAAAGAGTTTAGCTTACAAGGGCACTTTGTTTCCGTCCTAAGAGCAGGAACCAAACAAAGCAAAGTGATTAACGCAGTTTTAAGATAAAGTTCGGGATAACAGGGATGGGTGTTGATAAACGTCAATACAGTTCTTAAAATTTGATTTTGTCAAGGCAGTCCAGAACTTAGATTAGACTGAGTTTTCTTAGCTTGTCTTGTCTGAGTTTTTGCTGCTTTTCTTGCATTTACTTTATTTTTGTTTTTGGTGTCTTCTCTTCCAAGTCTGAGCTGAACTCAAAGCAAAGAAAAGTCCAGAATGTTTGTTATTTCAGTTATTTTAGTTGTCTTTGGCAGTATCAGAATCTGTAGGTTGCGTGGTCACAAAGCCGGATAGTGGGACTTGCTCACGTGCTTGTCACGTGAGGACTTAATTATTCGTTGTCTTACACTATTTCTATACCTTTCCAGCAGTCGATTTGCTTTACGGTTGTCTTGCTAACTTGTAAACGCTACATTGCGTTAACGTTTGAATAATTATTGTTGATCACGTTCAACAAGCGGCTCTATTGTTTGAATCTTGGTTGAAATACTCAACGTTGTTCAAATGAAAGTTTTGAACAACCGTACCTAGGAACCAAGGATGCGTTCCTTTGAGATTATCCGGATCAACATCAGTGATCGGAGATCACTCGGATTATGGTAGATCAAATGAACCGATGAATCCTTGTCCAGAGTGGATTCATCGGTTCGTTTGATCTACCATGATCCGAGTGATCTCGGATCACCGATCCTGATCCGGATCATCCCAAAGGAACGCACTCTAAGTCATAATCCCCTTCATACTGAATCGAAATTTCGATCCAGTTGATGGACTCCCAATAACTAATCATAAAAATTGATTCTACATTTTGAAGACACCTGAGCGAGCAGAACTTTCTATATCCTCCGAGAAATGCCGGGTTTTCTCAGCCGATAGCTATGCTACGTTCGGTGGAGGAAACCTTTACCCGTAGGGTAAATGCTCTTCTTTGCATTTACCGTTTATTGTGCTTCACAAGATCGTTTGTTTCTGGTTTGTGGATGGAATCTTATCTTATCTTCGTAAAATTAGAGTGTCAGCATTATCTTTTTTCTTGCACGTGATGGTTGAAATCTTAAATTTTAAGTAAATTATCATAAGGTCATGTCTACTTTTAATATTTTTAAAAATAAGACATAGGATGTTTTCTTTGTTGTCGGAAGTCTTTGAAGTGTGATGTTTAAGCTCTTTCCATGCCGTTTTCAAAGAAGTCTTTTCTTGCATGACAATAAAACGCATAATAATAGTGTAGGCGTACCCACAAGTCGACTTAAATAAATATTCGACGGACGAAATCGCAAAATGGTCTTTTATACAAAGTTTAAATAATATCACTGTTCACCACATCTGTGGAAAATATATCACCATATCCACAACCTCGTTGCTCGATCTTTGTGCCCTCATTTTCTTTTTTGATCTGCCGCTTCCCTAGTGATTCTATCGAGAGAAAATGCTTCTTTGCGCTTAATTGCGTTGTTGTTGAAATGGTTTTCTTATTCGCAATGCTTTCAGCTTTCTATACATGGCTTGTTGACAAAAATGTAGAAATGGCGCCCCCTCGGCAAGACTCTCTCCGCCTCGTTTGCGGCCATTAATATTTGCGTCTTCAGTTAGATTACATCTCAAGTGGTTTGTTTCTGCAGGCGGTTTACGGCGGCTTTTTCTTTCAAACGCATGCAACCCTGCACGCAAACTTATGCATGGCAGGCTCACAGACGGGAATTTTGTTATAGAGAGGCGTTGGTGCACAGACAGTTTAAATTAGCTTGCCTTTAAACTCTCATGAAGAGTTAAGTACCGTTTACGATCGCATGACGGATCGCTAACTAAGCGTGCACAACTAACAAAGCGGCACGCTTTGGTTTGCTTCGATGTGGTCCAATATGGCTTTGGTTGGCGGAGAAAGCCAAAGCCGGGAGCAGACTGGTGGTACCATTAAACACCATTAACGATATTGGAGTCGATATGGCTGTGGTTTTTGTTTTGCATTGGCAGTAATTATTGATTAATTGCAGGGCTGGATAAGTGCGTTCACCGTGTTCTTAGAATGAACACCCCCTGTGTTTTGTTGGGCCGACGAATCAGAGTCACGCGATTTCAGGTGAATCTGCCGAATGGAAGATGATCTGAGAATCAATGGAAACTTTGCGATTATCATCGGAAACGATAGTAATTGCTTTTTTAAAAAAAATTCTAAGGCATTAATGATCCGCAAAATTGAAGAAATGGACACCGAAAGATTAAAAAGAACTGAAGCGACCATTTTTGATGGTGTTACCAATTGAAATTAATGATTGTTTCGAATGCAAAATGTAGAATGAGAACTTTAAACAATGCTGGATCTCTAAGCACTAAGGATTCGTAAAATTGGAGTGTCAGAAGTTTGAAACAAACTGTAGCAGCCACTTTTGATGAATTAAACATTGTTTATATGCAAAATAATGAATGGATACCTTGAACTATGCTTGATCGCTTAGCAGCGTCATCCACTCGTACAGCAGTTTCAGTTTCAATTGCCCTCAGCTTAACAACGTTTTTAAAGGTTATGTCATAAAAAGTGCAGAAACAAAACTCGTTTGCTGTCTTTCTAGTTCTCTGCGCTACACCTCGCTTTTACTGCACCGTCTATAGTACTGCCCTTTTGCCAACGCTTACTCGTGCTCTAAGAACATCGAGGATGAATTCCCCGCGACTGAGTTTTCAGATGCCTCAAGGCACTTACAATTACGAGTATAAACTACTCGTGAGGATGAAAGCAATTGTATACTGGAACCTATTAAGTTTCTTTTAAAAACTGTTTAAGAATTTCAGACAATTCAGTTCCAGTATTTACAAATTCAATGAAAATACAGTTTGTTGCTGGTTAATTTGCCGTCCAAAATAATTATTGTCTAGGTTTCCTTGTCACTCAGTTATTTTTGTCGTTCTTTGACTATTTTTGTCGCTTTGCGCTACTATATGTGAGTTTCTCAATTACGAAGATATTAAATGTAACCAGTTTACTTCGTAGAAGGCGTTCGAAGGGAAATTCAGGATCCGTAACACGCAAAGGGCGCGCGAGGGAGCAAAGAGAAACCTCGCGCTCTTTTCGCACACCCTTTATTCCCCTCTACCCTGCCACCCAAAGCGTTTCTTAGTCCAGTAAAGTGACGATTTTTTAACGTCTACTTGTTGATGTTGCCCCATGTAACGGAATCCAAGACAATCTTGGATTCTGGATTCCACGCCGTGGATTCTGGATTCCAGGTACTAAATTGAGGATTCTTTGTCACTGGAACTTGGATTCCGGATTCAAATCGTTAGTGGGATTCCGGATTCCTTCAGCTCTATTCCGGATTCCAAAACCCGGGATTCCAGATTCCAAAAATGACCGGTCTGCAGGCCGGCCGTTTCTGACGTTTGGAAAGCGCGCCTAGTAAATTCTATTTACCAGTCTAAAATTCGTACTTCATTTGCTGCTTTTGTTTTAGGTTGTGGTTGACTTTATTAACAGACGCTATACCTCTTCTGGAGCACGAAGAGGTAGGAGATTTTGGATGCGTTTGCTTCTTTTTTCTTTCATTCTCTTTTTCAGATTTTCATCAGTAATGAACTACTTGCTGTAATGAACAACAAAATATATCCAGGGTACTGGTTTGCACGTGACGTCACGGGGGCCATGTTGGTGGTCAGCGAAAATAGCATTTCTCTCCTCTGGGAACTTAACTCTATTTTCGTGGAAATTCTTCAAAAACAATTTTTTCTATTTACCACCAACATTGCCGCCTTGTCACGTGGTTGCAAACCAAGAATAGAGCCTATAGTCTGGTGTGCAGCTTGCCTCGTCCCTAGGCCTCATTACTGCGCGCCGCCTATGCGTTTCGGGTCACGTAATCAGAGCGAGTCTCCCGGCCATTCGTCTCTAATACGTCACCGAAATGCATTAACCGTGAAGGCCTCGGTAGGTGCCCTACTGGAACTAAGCAATTGTGCAGCAACTTATGTGAACGAAAAAACTTTTGAGTCTTCGGATGAAATGCTATGATGTGTAATGATTGAAGTGAAACCTCTTCAGCAATACTTTCCCATTGTGGCTTCATGAACTGGTTCTAACTTTAAGCGTCTTGGTGCAAAATTCTGTGCTGTGACCATTCAAATAAAGCCTCCTGTGCGGACATTAACCTGAAATGTTCATGTTTCCTTATTTCACACAAAAAAATCTGAATCTATTACTTTGAATCTCTTCATTGTTACTGAAACGGGGGCCAAGCCAGCTAATTTATTGCAGTTCTTTTAACACGAAACCCATTCCTTTCTCGTGTAGGTCATTTTCTCCAGTTCTCAAACCTACGAACTGATGCACTGTTTAGATGAGATAAGGCTCTCATTCAGGACTGAAGAGTATCTGGAACATCCTGACAAGGGTCTCTCTGAAGAGCGGTCAAAAAGAGCCGCCATTGGAGGTTCCAGAGCGAAGACATCTAAGAGCATCAAGGTATTTTGAACAAGTTTAATTTTCCGTTCATAAAGCATCACCTAGACCAAACTGGCCTCAGCCGCATGTAACTACTATTACCCATATATTGCAGTGCCCTCCCCGCAGAGTGTGTGTTTTGTCCCGCCCGAATGTTTGTTGCAGAAGAAAATGTAGCTGTTGCTAGGCAACTGGTTGCGGGTTAAAAACTCTTAACCCTGTCCTTCCCAGAGTGAAAGAAATGTGGAGTCTTGAAAGGTGGTTCTAACTTTTGAGTCGGTAATCAAGATGCTGTAGTGTGACCATTCAAATTGAACCTCTTTGTGAATACTTTCATCTGGTACTATTCATTTTTTCAGCATTCACAAAATGAAATTTGGAAATTAGGCGACTTTTGACTTAAGTCAGTTTTGGGAAAGGGTTAACATGCGGTTAGCCGTGAACCCAGGTGAAGCTGTGGTTTTGCTTTGCCAACGTAAAATCCTTTCTTTCATCGCCGACTCAATCCTCTTTCCTGTCGCAACCTGTTAGCAGTGTCAAGGTTTGTCTTTCATCAATTAAATGTATACAGTCGTCTTAGCTAAATATTACTTTTGCTTACTGATGGCTACAAATACCTCCCATCCATCTCACGGACTGCTCTGCGTGTTTCTAAAATACTTTCCCCATATGTTGTGATGTTAAGGAATGTTTAGAATGAAACAGTGTCAGTTTCTTCGTTCAATCAATGTCGAATTCACCGCTTTAGCTCGTAGATAGATCAAGGGCTGTGACTGTAAGGGAAACTAAAGAAATTTTTTTAAGGTCGAAGTATTTTGCCAAACGTGAAGAAAAATCTATCCTCTTGGTAAAGTTGATGGAAAGTCAGGGAAGTTTACTTTAGGTTGTCACATAATTTCCTGAAGATCACTGGCAAAAGCCATTTTCATGTGAAAAAAAAATTTAAGTAGACTGATTTTGATACTTTCTAATATCTTGAACAAGACTTGAACGAATTGTAGATTGTTTGAAAAACGTTTAAAGAGATCGAAAACGAAGATGAGATTAGTTAAGGTCTTCTAAAGAAGCTGAAGAAAATGTGAAATGAAAGATAACGAGAAATCGTTTAGAGGTCAAAGAAAAGTCAGGCAATTGTCAGAATTTTTTGTTTTTATTCCAGTGAATGGTAACCCTGCTCCGATAAGCTCAGATATTTGTCGTTAGAGAGCATTGGAACAATTAGACAAACTGTTTTTATTTTTGGCTAAGCTACAATATCTATTTCGATTTTCTCATGTTGTCACCAGCAAATAGATTAAGCAATGAATATATGGCATTCGAATTCCTTTTCTCGTAATAATGAAACGTTCGCATGGAAGGTTTTTTAGACTTCATTTATTCAACATAGTTACGCACGCCCTCTGAGAAGATGGAAAGTAAGCCAGAAAAGTATAACATATTCCGTAGCTTGATCCGTCTTGAACATTATAGCTGGGTTTTTGAGCAGCACGGTGGGAACGCTGCGTTGTTGGTCTTCATTTAAAAAGGTCAAGTTTTAGAATTTTTTTTCAATGGTACGCTAAACTGAAAGCAGTTCTTAAGCGTTCTTCAGTCTATTCAACCAAGCCGGAAAAAAACCAATGAAAATCACCCTAGGTTAAGTTCTAGTATTATTACGCGTTCTTGTTATACCTATTGCTAGTTGGGAGCAAACAATTGAGTTGTTCGTCGCAGCTGTGCAGCTATGCACGTACACATGCACGTATGTACGCTAAACTGACGCACTGAAACGGCTCCAAAACGCACGGCATCCAACTTGCTATGGGGCATTGACAACCCGGGTGACAAGAAGAGGTATTGAAGCCACACACGAGCAAGGTCGTCAACGCCCATCTTTGGCAAACAAGGTTAAGTTTGCAACTACGTCGCTCCCGTTGTGAGTTATTAACGTTCTGTTGTGACCAATAAAAACGCTCGCCAACGAAGATGTTTTGAAATAAATTAGAAACATCTGCAGTAAAACTGCTCAAACAACAACAACAACAGCAACATCCTTTAACATGTTTATGGAACGTGTAATAAAATATTTTTGCTCAGCATCTTTTGGTGTTTGCTTGAGGTAGGGAACATCTGGCAAGCGATTCTAAAAGACTAAATGCGGAATGAAAGTAAATTCAGTGTTTGTAAAAACAGGAATTGAGAAAATGTTTATAATAGAATGCGTGAAATTAATGAATTCTTCACAGAGAATTCGTAAGTACTCTAAATGGTTCGCAGTATGAGAAGAAAGTCAAACACGCGTGTAGGGAACGTTTGAACATCCTCTCGCTAATTTCCTACAAGCTAAACATATGTCTCTTGAGGGGATTTCTTCCTATAGTACTAGCATATTATATTTTCGTATGTCGCTTAGTTTCTAGTAGAACAGTTTTACCTCTTTAATCAAAGTCCTACGCAATTCCGCACATCAAACTGGCTTTTCTACTATTTAAGAGCTATTTGATTTTTCTATGGCGTAGGCTGGCAGGGGGAGACTGGAGAGAAGTAGAACTTTCCTAGGCTAAGAGTTATTTCAATTCAACTTTTCGTTCCGGCGGTATCTCTATTCGGAGTTGCCCGCTGGTTCCAAAACTTGGTAATTTGAAGTCTACGAAAGGTTTCCTTCGGAAGTAAAAATTTCTTTAAAACCCACGAATATTTAAAAACGATTTCTTGGTAACTCTTTCGTTTATATAAAGAATTAGGCCCGGGGCAAATACCCATTAAAAGACTGTATTAATGGACCTATTTTGTAGAGGAATCTTTTGAATCGCTGATAAAAGTGAAAAACCCTTCTTTATAAGAAGAACATGTAGCAGCATCAAATTTGATTCAAATTCAAAACCTATAAATATAATACCGAGGCAAAGATAATTGTTTTTGTTGCAGCTGTAATAGATCTATACAAGCCTTGCCGAATTTGCCTCAAAGGTGCCGCGATGCTTTAAACACTGCAAATGAATTAAAAGTTTTGTATGTGGTTATTTATTTCGTGACCAGCAGAGGCAAGTTTTATTGACAAAACAAGAAAGCACTCTGTCTTAAACGAGTACCGAACTAACCACCCCGCCTCGAAGCCACCAGAATCTTATTGTTGAGCGTATTAATGAAAAAACAAATTTAGAGCTGGTATTTTGTTCTCACGGCCACATGCTCAGTAAACAAACGTAGCAATTACTGTATAGTTTTGGCGGAGATTCTTTGATGAATAATTGAGTTGGGTTCCCCGCTGGAAGCAAGACTCCTCAAAGTACCGCATTGCATGTGGTCTTAGAGCGAAACGCCAAAAGTTTATACAAGTCCGCTTTTGAAGCCGTGTTTATTGATGATTCGTTTGGCTCGACAAGGTATCTAAAGAACCTGTCTTAGGTGCATGTCAGGGTCCATATATTTGGCAGCTCGGCAGTGGAGAAAAAGAAGAACGAGACAGAAAGGATTTGGTAGCTTGGCACTAAATAAAAAATAACGAGAAATACTTTAGTTGCACGTCAAAGCGTCCATATGTTTGGGGCTCAGCAGTCGACAAAAAAACGAGAATTGACAGTATATGCGGGTAGTTCACTTGCTCCGCTCTCCCTAAGGAAAGTAATAGATTGTAGTGTACAACAATGCAAAACCTATTTAACTCTCACGAAAACACGGTAGTGGGCAGGTAAAATTAGAATTACCCAAACTGTTGCAGCTCGGCTTAGGTATTAGGACAGACAGACAGTTAGGACAGATTCTTTATTTTACCGCACAGATAAATAGCCAGTGCTCCAGTGCTTCTTATTTTACCACTAATTCTGTTGATTAAAACAATTGTTTCGCCGTTAATATTTTCCAGAGTTTTCGATTAAGTGGAAATTGAAGCTTTGGAGTATTAAGGCTTTAATCCCAACCGTCCACAATTCATTAATATGATTCTCTGAGAAACTACTTCCTTCTTGATATTTAACCGGCGTCAAAACTTGCCCTCGTGAGCTTTTTCCGCTAATCAAGTATAGGGCGGAGAAACTTCTGAACATTGTAGACGACAGAAATATTACAAAAAAAGCGGAGGATTTAATCGCTTAAAATAGATAGCTTGCATGCATTCAGATCCGTGTGAACAATTATTCCGTTTTTATTGAGGGCGGAAAATTTGGTAAACAAGATTTTCGTTCTGTTCGCCAATATTTCTGCAAAGGGTTACTTTTCGCGCCATTTTGTCAACAAGAAAGCCCTGCTACGACTCTGTCGGTTGCACTTTGAGTACGCATGCGTCGATCCAATGGCCGATCTATCCTCGGAAGTGCTTGACTCGATTGATCGAAAAGCTCCATTATATTTTCACTTGTTGCTTCTCTACCATTCTTGATTATTTAAGAGCTATTTTTGTCGAAGGGCTGGCTATTGCGTCGTCCAATACCAGTTTTTCTAATGCCTCAGCGTCTACAGAAATTGATTCCCGTCTGCATATTAGGTTGCTCGAAAAATATCCATTCCAAATATTTGTCCTTCGGTTTTTTTCCAGGCACGAAACAAGAATTGATAAACCTTTTAATTTGCGTCTGAGCCGTATCACGTCATTTGGTGAAGTCTATTGTGGATAAGAAATGATTTTTTTTTTGGTTATTTTAAGGCAGCTTCTGGTTCATTTTTGTGTTTGCAAGGAAAGGAACTAGATAGAAGGGTACCGTGGATGAAGACACTGGATAAAACTACAGTAGTTAAGCCGGTAACGGGCTTAGTTGAAGGCCCCTTAGTCTGGTAATGGCCTATCTGATCCTATTCATCTCAAATCTTAAAATTTTCTCTTTCACGTTAATTCTAAACATTTCTCCCTGCCGTATTTTCTTCATTAAAACATTCTTTCAGACATTTTTTGTGCCAATAACTCAAGCACAACCTACTTGAGGCATGTTTAGATCGGCCCCATCCTCGGGTTGGGTTTCAAAAATAAGTTGCTGCTACTGAGATACGCTGAAATATTTAAAAATAAAGCAGCCGTTTGATGGAAATATTGATAATAATATTGTTCACTCTGCAGCCTTTTTTGTCCAATGAAGCATCGGCCCTGTTTGAGCTTAAAGGGACAGGTTCACGGTTCAGCGCATGCTCATATATCAAAATGCTATTTTTCTGCTGGGACATGCTGTATCGTCTATGGAAGCAATATGACCATGTCATAATGTTGTCAAAGAACCAATCTGCGTACTCCTCCTGGCAGACACTTGATCAACGTATGTGCAAATAGCTGTAAATTAATCAGCCATTGAATAAAACCTTCGGGTCAACAATAAATTCAACTTTGGTAGTGTTGGCATGATCCACTAATTTTTTCTGCGATTTTAGTACTCCTCCATCCTACTTCAGGTTACTTTGAAATACACTTCTACTTTAAAGTACACGCTGAGATCGCTGAGATACATGAGAGTGGGATTATTAACCGATAGAATTGGGAAAAAGTAATTTAATTAATGAGCATGCAGTTATCCGTGAACCTGTCCCTTTAACATTCCCATAGACTGACTTTTGGCAGAAAAAGCTATATTCAGAGATGAAAGCGTATGGACTCTACTACCCTGTATACTGTATACAGCTTGCTATGAAAATAGAATTACAGTAAATTACAATTTTGTAATTCCTCTTAGGACTGTCTGTAAAAGCCTGTGTGCAAACTTTCCTATCACCTTGCCAAACATAAAGAGAGAGAGAGAGATAGAGAGATACCCAGGCCTCGGTTCCTGAAAGTCTTTAATTCAGGATTAAAATTTTGTTCCACTTTTCGAATTTACCTTTCTATGCATTGCTTAGGGTAAGTTTTGCGTTATCATTTTGTTTCAGTATTTTGTGAGCTCGAGTTACATGTCCTTAGACAAGAAAACCTTGTTTAAAATTTGGCTTAATCCTGGGTTAAACTTAAGAATCTTTTGAGGAACCGTGCCCTGAAGTTTTCACTACTATTAGTAGGGCGCACGCGCGTGAACTCGTCCCTCCACGTTTCCTCGTGGGTGGCGATTTTCACGTGCGCTTACGTATTTCGCTCGCTTTTCGAAACATTTTTAAAAGGAGTTTATTGTAGTCTAGCAGTAACTTCCCAGACTAGAGTCCGCCGTAGAAAAATGTGCGAAACGTGCAGTTAGTGCCGAGGATGGGATTTATCTAGCTTTAGATCTAAAAGAGCGCATGAAAGAGGCTCTTAGCGCAGCTTCTAATGGCAGCTTTCTCATAACAAGACGTGACATAATTATCAATTTGTTGTTAGGACTTCATAGACTTCCTATCGCTCAAATCATTCTCAGGATTTTTTTTGTGGGCAGTTTCTGGTGTTTTTGAAGAAATCGTATCCAAAGTTTATCAGGGGCAACCAACGACCGAATGTTTCCAAATACGTTAGAAGTGTCTCAAGAAAATGTCACAGTTTTATCTATGATTTAGAAGCCTGTGGTTAATTTGGAGCTGCCCTGTGGTTTACTGAATATAACTTTCAATGTTCATCCTAGTCCTACTCTGTCAATATTTTTCTTTTTGAGAACACTTGTCATTTATGACGTACTTTTCTAAAGCGATGTTTTACTGAGTGAACTCTGACAGTAGATTTGACCTTCTACTGGTAAATATCCTGCTAAAAATAGAAGAGAATTTGGGATTACAGAAAAAGCGTTACCGCCGCCAAAGAGTGAAGTGTTTTGCTTTAATGAGGAAGTCAACCAAATATGCCATTAATGAAGTCGCGTCAAACCCGGCACGCGAAAAACAGTGGAGACTCTAAACTCTTAAAAAAAATCCTTTTACCTATTCCATACTTCTCATTGCATTAAATCCGGCCCTGAACGTTCTAGATATAGAGTCTCCGGCGTTTGAAAAGTCTTTTCGTCCGGTTGAGGTTTGCCGTGAGGCAATTTACAGTTATTGCGCATCTCGCCACATCTGGGATTTTTTAAGAGTTTTCCGTCGCTCACCTCTCGAAAATAATCGAAAAGCCGAAAGAACTGTCGGTAATAACAGCACCAAATATAAATATTTGGTATATAGTGAGGTTACAGACAAAAACATGAGCTTGTCAGAGATTTGGATTAGTTTGCGGATGGCACGAAAGGGCGGAATATTGTTATCATCTTAGATAATCTTACCCCAAGCTAATTTTGAGTCTCAAAAGTGAAGGAAAAGACTGATCGTGCCAATTCCGCGTACACTGAATAGATTTGACCGGCTTAATCTCTGGCAAAGCTAACAAAACAGATTCATTACGTCAAAGAAAAAAGATACTATACGCTGTAATCCTTTTGACGTTAGTCGTGGTGTGTTTGGGGAGGCGGGGGAGGGGAGGGGAAGGGGGAAGGGCACAGAGTATATAAAAGTAGGGTATCCCGCCCAGGGATCCCGCCTATTTCCCTATTAAAGAGGGATGTTCCAAGCCAAACTGTTTCGTTAGCGAATGGAGTTGTTGGGAGGTGACTGTAGAGGGACTTGCTTCTATCCATTTTCACACGTACAATACGTTAATACCAGACTACTCGAAGTGATCCCCTCTTCCATAAAGTGCTTTCTCGCACAAAACGATACTTTGTAACGAGACGTGAGCGTGTTACGGGCACGCAAATAAAACTACTTATCATTTGTCATGACGCAGCTAGGGTTTAATGGGTGTTTCTTCAAACGTATATGCCGCTTCTTTGACGCGAGAACTTTCTTGCGTTCAATCAAGGCACGTAGCTTTGTAATAATTATAATAATAGCGTGAAGTAACAAAAGGATCAAGTGGCACCATTCAAGCGAAAGCTATGTGGTAGCACTCCACAAGGAAAAAAAACAACTCCAGGAACAAGTGGCGGCTCTCAAAAAGCTTCCGTTTGAATTCACTTGTAACACTCTGCATTTTGGTGCACGTACTTAAAGTTATAAAGACAACTATAAAACCTTATCACAGTGGCTTTAGCTCTGTTTTATTTTATGGAAAGTTGTCCTGACTTTTGCTTCTGCGCAACTACAGTCACACAACTTGACCATTCAAGCGGAATCTTTGTAAGATCACTTGTTTATCAGCTTGTTTTTCTTTGTGGTTCTTTGTGGCGTGATCTCCGATTCCTCCAGGAAGTAACAAAGAATTACTGAAGCGATTCTGTTAAAGAGAATAATTAGTAACAATTAACTGACGTAGCAACGATATCAGTATTCGATATTTTCGTCAGGAAATAATTTGGGACGAAAATTCAACAGCTGTGGCAGTAACCTGTCTGTATTTTGGCACTTTCGTTCTCAATAAACACCCTCTCTTTTTGTTTTGGCGGCTACACGCATACTTAATTCTGTAGCATGTACGTAGCTTGCGGGGATGTCCAAGTCGATTGAGCTGCTTCTTTTGCTTCGTTACGTTCTATTTTCTAGATGTTTTAGTTGTGAGGATGTCCAAGTCGATTGAACTGCTCATTTTGTTTCGTTACGTTCTATTTTCTAGGTGTTTTAGTGGCAGAAGTATTTTTTGTTGTTGGAGCACTGAACAACAAACGGTGCTAACAGGGCGTGATGTGCGGCACTGTGACCGAACGTCTTAAAAGAAACACTTCTCTATTGAAGTGTCAGTATATTTAGCACTAAGTACTTATTAAGGACGCCGTTTTTAAGTTCTCATGGTAGACGGAACGACGTCTATCTCTACGTGGTTAGGGTTGTCGCTAAGATTCCAAGTTGCTAGGTATATACAATTGCTGGGCGTGAAGTCGAACAGCTAGGAAGTTCTAATGTTCCATGTTTACCTGACTATTATCTCCTCGCATGATAGCACAAATCACCTAACACAAACTTTCGATTAGTATGAATGCCATTTTGCTACTGCATGTTAGTTTACTTGTGATTTAAAATGTGATTGAAAATCGATGAAAGGGTGATTGAAACTGTTCGCGTTTGTTGATGTTTTGATGTTTTCAGTCGGTGCGAACTGTTAGGTCGAAAAATAAAATCCTAATGTGTGTCAACTCAAATGATTAAGTCCTGACCAGTAATTTATAACTCTTTCTTAATATTCAGATTTTCTGCCAAATGACTGCATTCTTTCCTCTCTTAGCGCTTTTAATATTTTCCTATTTTTTCTAGGTTATCCCTATATTAAGATCTCCCCTTACAGATAACCCACCCACCCCGGGAAAGGTTGGCCACACCACCGCGGTCTACGTCCCCTACTCTTTTCGAACAGTGTTCGAAACAGTTCTTTTACGTCCCACAAGAACCAGATAAGAGAAAGTGCTGTGAGAAGGGACCTACGGTTTTTCGTCCTTATCCGAGAAGACTAGAAAGTCTAACCGTTTGTAGATGCGATTACAAAGGCAGCACTTTCGTCTCAGTTACCTAAAGACGTTGAGTGTTGGTCTAGCCAGGGTTTGAACCTGTAACCTCCCGCTCAGCAGACTGGCGCTTTCCCAACTGAGCTAAGATAACTCGAAAAGGCTGGAGAAAAACTCGAAAGACTCTCACTTTTTTTTTCAGGTGCAAGAAGAGGAAGAGAAAGACAAGATGGACCTGATCCGCTTGGCTCTTGCGCGTAACCTTTCAAGAACTATCTTATAAAGCTGGCGACTCGTCGACGAAAGGCGATGAACAGCTCCTAATCAGTTGCTAAAAGGTTGGAAATATAACGAAAAAATTAAAAGCCGAGAATGTTAAATACAGCTAAACCATCTCGGAAATGACCTCTCCACTTCCTTCAGAACAAAGGTGGTCGCTCGTGAGTAATCAGCGGAACACTGCAGGTTTTTAAACGTAGGTTGTCAGTGAGGCAGTGCATTAGGTCTATTTGTGAGGACACCTTGTGGCAATAACATAACAGGATCCCGAATTGAGGAAACGGTTTGGGAGAAGTTCTTCACAAGGTCACAAAAATGTCAGAAAGGAATTTGAGCGGACTTATGGACAAATGATAGTCGGTTATCAACTGAGAACAATACTGAAAATTGAAACTAATTTATTGTTTTTTGTAAGGTCAAATGGATATTCTCACATAATCCTGACTACTATTCATGTACTTTGATCCACTAGCCTAATCACTCGCTAGATTTCTTGGACATTTCGTCCATGAAACCACACAAGTAACTGATGTTGTGTACTGAGTAAAAAGACTATTTCGCCCATATTTTTTCTTAAGTTAATTGCCAGAATTCAGGAGACTGATAGGCAGTTCCCAGTTCTCTGGGCAGTTCCTATTGGTCAAGGAAACTCTAGGGCGAAATTTTGACCTGAGTCAAGGAAAATTGGTATTTTGAGCGGAAAGGATCAAGTAAACTTGAGTCTGTAACATTGTTGATTCTTCAGGCTAAATGAATAATCTCGTAAAATCGCCAGTCCTGTATGGCTGCTATGCTTGAACTTTGATGCACTTAACTTTGTCCTTTGGACCGTCATTTTTTTCAGGAAATTGCACAAAAAAATCTTTCAAAAGGTACTACTATCCACACCTTTTTTATGATTTGAAAGGGCTACTGACAGCCAAAGCTCTTTAGTAAACCATGAGGGCAAAGCGATAATGAAAATCTCACTTTTACTCGACTTAAAACCAGGGAGACTTTACAGAGGTGATATCCAATGTATTGGGCTGTCTGTGGATAGGAGCAACGCTAGTTTATTTGGCTTTTGTCTTTATTTGCGTGACAGTTGAATTTAACATGCAGAATTGATCAAGTAGAGGCAGTTTGTTCTGTTCTTGATCTCCATAACATAAGAGGTCTTCAACGAATCCCGCTGTATAGTTTTGCTCGATACAACCTGGTGTTTCACTGTACCTATATAGCTCTTAGGTATCTTTAAAATAAATTACATTTATATATCTGAATTGCTTTTCTGAGGCATTTCACTTGGTACTCTCAGACTGTCAGTCAGGTAATGTACGTATCGACTTTGAAGTCGCTGAATGAAATCATTGTAAAGAAATCTACTCGGCCGAGCAGTGCACTCGTCTACAGCGGCGCACGAATTTTTTCTAAGAGGAAATAAAAACGGCTACTTTTAGATGAATCTTTCGCTGGCGGAAACGTTGTGACTTTGACAGTAAAAAAATCGACTTTTCGTGATTGTGAACGTTATTAAGTATTTTTTGCCTTGTTCTTCCGGTCAATTTATCATGATACTGGTAGGCCTAACCAAGAACAATACGAGTGCTTTATCCAGAGAGCAAAGTTTAAAAACATTGTACATGTGCTGCATGCGATTATGGTTTATTGTGATCGGCGAGGAAGTTCTTACTAGCTTGAAAGTCTCCTATTGCATCTTTGACCGTTACGCAAAGAGAAGCTGTAGTGGTCTAGAAGGTAAATGATTGTAAAATGTCACCATTCAATGTTGTTAGGCAATACTTTTAACTTAAATTTTCTAACGCGTTGCTGTATACCACAAGAATGAGCAACAGAGCTTCAGCTGAATCCAGTCTGTGCGTTCAGTGCAAAGTAACCTTTTCACTCAAGTGCCTATGCAAAAACCAAAACTGAAAAACCCTCAACTTCATTATAACTGTGAAACGAATAGAAACGTGAGGGTAATGCTGAAGAGGTTTTCGGATATTATTGGTAGCATCATAGGAATTCATCCACAGACTCAGAGTTACTTACTAAATAACAGCGTGTAGAGGTTTCGTACGGTCACACCGTAGAACTGTAGCCTCTACCTGCTCTAACTTAGAACTACAATATGATCTCTCTAATCGAGTAAAAAGGATAAGCCAACTCAGTGATAACCCCCATGGTCCTGGGTCAGTTTCCTGTTGGGTCCGCATTCTCTATCTGCCTCGCGTGTTTCATGTTTCGTATTTCTTGATTTCAGCGTTTTAATTTGTAACACCAAATTTGAAGGGAATATACTCAAACCATATCTTTTTGAGTTCCTGCATGTCCTGTTTTCGTCCTGTACCCGGCCATCTGCCATACGGTTGTTTGAAATGCCCCCAAGTGTTTCAGCCGCTTTATAAGTAGTTCGAATTTTCCTTCCTTTTCGTTTTAAGCCTTTCCCTTTCGGCGCTTTTACCTTTTTACAACACCACGCACATAGCAGATGTTCCTGTCCAAATCGCTCACTATCAGCGAACTTTAGTCACCTCCTTCAAGAAACCGTAAATTTTGGCCGGTTGATTCTTCCACTTTTACTTCGGTACAGGAGCAAACCTCAGTTGTTAGTTGGTTTCTTGACCAAAAAAAAAAAGATCAACTCTAGAAACGTTTCTTTGTCATGATTTGACGAAGTAATCAAGCAGTATCATTTCTTCATTTTATACCTCATGGCTTGCAATAAAAGATTGCGTTCATCGTGTGGGAGTTATAAGAAAAATAAATTCGTAACATTTAATACTAATTGCCCTTTCTGTAGTTATTAGGAGACATATAAATCGCTTACTTCTTTCTTATGTTTTATTCTTATCCAGTCTTATTCCTATCTTTTCTTTTCCTTGTCTCTACCTAAAATTTTTATTGAACTTTACCGATTATGCTCTTGTAGCCATTTCAGAGAGCGCTTTGCAGGGCTCTTCTCCTAGCCGTTCTAAGAGTCCTTTATTTTTCTTCCTTCGTCGCTCGCTCGGTCGCTGCGCGTCCTCATGCATTGAAGCTCACTCCGCTCAATTTTAACAACTTATGAGAGGTCGACTTGTAGCAAGTCTACTCCTCTCCACAGTGCAGTTCTTGTTCATCGTCTCAGAAACGCAAATGTGGAAACAAGCAACTATTAGCTTCAGCAAACGGCGGTTTCGTAAGAAAAACGAGAAAGGAAAGAAAACAACTGGCTTTGACAACCTTTTTACGCATTAAAAAAAAAAACATTTGTTAACTAGCTCTACTGAAAACAGTCCATTACTGTCTTTGTAGAATCCGTTCTTATGTTATTTTTTACACCGACTAAAACACCCTTACCGTCGAATGGGATTAGATAGAGTAAAACCGAAAGTGTGCGTTTTTAGAAGTAAACGTTTAATTTTTCTTATACACTTTTTGACGCTTGAGAACCGTTTATCCTTGGCTTAAAAGTAATTCCACTTATGTCTTTTCTTTTGTGTTTTATTCTTTCCTTTCTTCCTGGCAATTTAAAACTTCTGTGTTCTTTTTTCTGCGCATGTCAGGAGCGCTGCTTCTTTGACTTGGGGGTGTTACGTGTAATTATACCGAACTGAGTAATTATAGTACTGCAGGATCCGTGGACTCAGTAATCATAATTATATTTTATCTTATCGGCCTTTTTACCGTGCCGATCGGGAGAAAAGGCTTCAAGTGCCGGTCCTTGGATTTTTTCTCGCGCCCTGCCTGTTTAAACTTTGCCGGCGCGTCAAAAGAGCAAGCTACTAAAAGCGCTTTTAAACGTGTCAGCAGTTTGCTTTAGTGGTCGCTTATCATCTTTACTTAATGAGTCTGCGGCGGTAGAGGCTTTACATCCACCTCTCTGCTTGAATACAAAAACAACAATCGGGCAATGTATGTGTTTTTCTTTGGCTTTAAAGTTCAGATTATCTTGCGCGGCCAAAACAACAATTGGTATATCAAGGGATGTAGATATAATCAAGGCGGTAAAATGGTCGCGCAGTTTGCTCCCTGCCTCCGGGCGCGTTTGATGTCTTAAATACAATGAGCGTATCGTTTGTTAATTTTATTTCAGTTATTGCCCCCTCGCTTAATTTCTCGCACCAGGGTATACAGCGTTCAAATTAGCGCCGGCGGATCGAAGGATTGTTAAGAGCAATTCGTAATTATTCGAGAAAATTATCCTACTTTACCGATTGCAGCCAAGCTCTGTTTTCATGCTATTTACCACACGTTTGTTAGTTATCGTGTTAGCATTTCGGATTAGCAGAATTTTTGCTGCTTCACCAAAGTTTAATCTTCTCCGTCTACACCGCAGTTTATTGTTTATTCGCCATATAGTAATGCTTCAGGCATCACCCGTTAAAACTCTCCTTGGTGTAGTTTTTTTTTACGTTAGACACGGGTAGTGAAATTTAGGTAACATGTGATTAAATCGCGCTCAGAATTTGCCTTGAATCCACAAAAAAAGCTATTTGCCACCTAGATAATAATTTTTAAATCTTGGTCTTTTTACAAAATCGGCCCATGGTCTACTAAGAGAAAGCTCTCGTCGCTTGAGTAAAGTCTCGTTGCTTCTGAGAATTTAAACAATCCTTTTGGCTTGGCTTGAACAGCCATCTAGAGTCTAGCCGGACAAAACGGCCTTAACCTCTCTGAGTCCTCTCTTCCACTTAAAATGATTTTTTATTAGCGGGTTTTATCAAGGATCATAAGCTTACCGGTGGAGCGACAACGAATTAAAAACTCATTTATCTTGACAGAAGCAACTTTACTGAATGTTCAAAGTTTCAAGCTTGAACTTAGAGTGATACACTTACCAAAATACTGAGCGTGAGTGGTCGGGCATACTCCACTCAACTCTTACTGAGATTTGCTATCTGAAAAAAGTGCGTTTTTTTTTTCTTTTACATACGTGTATTAATTACTCATTTCTCAAAGCATCATGAAGTCATGTGAAGTGGGCTTTTATTCTGACATTGTTTTTCTAGGGAGGGTTTAAATCTATAACCTGATATCGATCGACTGCCAGTTCGTCATTCGTCGTTCCATTTCACTTCCCTTCATAGTTTCATTTAGGTCGAAATATTTTCGGCTTCATGTAGCTCATTTTGCGTTAGGCTTTCCGTCGGGATGGCGAATATAATAGCTATTATATCGCTGATAACTTTGTCGGACCGCATATGAGCCAATCAGATTTCTTCTGGTAGTATTTCAATTACAAGGCTGACCCTGCACTGCCCCTTACGTATTTAGATGAGTTTTATGCCCAAACTAAAACGTCTTGGAAACTAAAACAAGGAAGTTGTGTTGAGTCGGCATTGGCAAGCCACCTTACGAATTCCTTGCCAAATTGAACCCTAGAAATTATTTTCTTTTTCAAGTATAAATAATAACAATTTTTATTTATTTGCCGAAATTTTTTAGCCTGGTCTGTAAATATGCTTAAAAAGTCATTATATTGCAATAAGTCAATGTAGAGGATACCGTCTGTACCTTCTGGAATGATTAAGCTGCGGAAAAATTCTGAGTCATAAATCTTTCATACTGACCCACGGAATTTTTTTCTTTTTAATATTAAGGTAGACCGAGGTGGACCTAGTATTTATTTCATGCAATCGAGGAATTGAGTAAAAGGACGTTCTCGGAAAGATAAATGTAAAGATACATGTTTCCTGCTAAATATAAAAAAATTGTATTCGATCCCAAACTTTTTTTAACCTTGTAAGCTACTCTGCTTTTTTATTATTATTTATTTCAAAACAATTATGCCCTGGGCGGTTCTCATTTTGCAAATGTTTTTCCTTCATTTGCTAAAAAGGTTATATTATTATTATTATTATTATTATTATTATTATTATTATTATTATTATTATTATTATTATAAAAAAAACGACTGGGATCAGCTTGTTCCCGCCTATCTTCAATGGACGCTTTTTTGCAAGAGTAAGCGGTGTTTTATGTTTGCTGTAACAAGCTATTAATGCATACTTAGCCTTTGAAAGCCACAGTTACTCTTTCTATTTTGTTTATACCCTGAGCTTTTTTAATGCCAAGAATCGCAATTATACAAGTTTCTCTTGGCGAAACAAAGTAAAAAATAAAATATATTTTTCGCTTTTTCTCTATCCCCGTCAAAGACAATAGAGAACATGCCCCAGTATAGTTTAAATGTTCAAATTAAAACGACCGCATCTCTTAATTGGTCTCACTGAGTAGCAACAATTTGTCAAAATAAATGCTCCTTAAAGTTGTGGGGAAGCTGCGTCATGCTTCACCCACAGTTTCCATTTCCGGTGTAAAACAAGGCACTTCCGGTTAAGCGCTCGAGTGATTTCCGCAAGATTTTTCTCGTCTCTGCGATCGACTTAACTATCAGCCATTTTTTAAAAATTATTGTTTAACGCAGAGCGAGCTTTTGTTCAGACAATATTGCTCTTGGAAACGGGAACATTTGAGAATATAAAACTAAAAGAAAACGCCGCCGATCTGCTGACATTTTCGATTTTTTGACTCACTGGGTAATTGACACTTCGTCAATGAAAAGCGGCAAATTCAAAGGTTTTCAAAATAGCCTCTCGTTCGAACGTGCAAAAAGTGAAGGTGGCTAATTGAGGACTTATAGCTCGAAACTTTCAATTCTTGGTAACAAAAGTCGAAATTACAAGTCTGTCAGGCGCCTTGGATACGGCTAATAATTTTCCTTTCAGTTGTTTAAAATTTTAGACTTCGAGCTCTTTTATATCCGTACCGCCAGTCGGCCTTGCCACGCGAAATTAAATAGTTTGTGTTGGTAACAAAACAGACAGGAAAACTAACACATTTACTCACTGCAAATTCTGTTTCCTCGCCTCGAATACGAACTATTTTTAGAGGTAGACAAATCTTTTTTCTTTACATAAACATTACAGCGCCAAATCCAGTTGCTCTTGGCTGCGTGATCATTCGTCTGAGGAAACAATATTACAAAGCACGTCAGGTTTAAAATCAAAATACGCAGCGTGCTCATTTGAAAGTCGTTATTTAACACGGATCTTTTTTCACCGAATTTCTAAACAACGGGTTGATTCAAATACTGCATTGTGCAGCCGCATAAGTGAATTCGGCGGTCGCGCGAATCGTTCGCTCTGTACAAGACCAAAAAATACAAAAATGTTGACGCTATTTTCGAGCGATGAACGTGCTAAAACGCACGCAAAAATCGAGTGATAAGGAAACATAACTTTTTCTCATCAAAAGGACCGGCCTAACATGAAAGGCACCGCCGAGATGCTTGTGTTCCGTGAAATATTAAAATTTGTCTCCCCGCGCTGGGTTGAGGTAACTAACATCACAAAAGCTCTGTTTCGGACCATTATGGAAAAATAGGACAAGCAATTCTTAGCGGTGTTTGTCTACCTCTCCGTTACAATCAATTTTTTGCTCTTAAATTACTCTGGCAAACACTCTCTTGTGACACAAAGGGAAACCCGAAAAGACAAATAATAATTATTGCTGGCAACGTTAAGTTGAGTTCTTTCTCGGTCCTTAACCTAATTTCAGCTAAGCCGGACTCAAAAAGGAGCCGCATTCGTTGGTGAGGACGACCAGTTCAAAAAATTATTATCTTGTAGTAATACAACCAATAATGTGTTAAGTGAATTGCATAGGCCCGACACTTCATCAAATAAAAAAAATTCATTAGCAGATATTTTGAATAAGAATGCCGGAGACGGCGAAAAGCGTTTCGTGAAAAAAGTGAAGGAGAAAGCAACGTGATGTTGAGGTAGATTTAGAAAGGAATCGCACGCGCTATAAAAAGAACCCCTTCAAATGCTTTGATCGCTCCGAATTCCGTCTCGATGTAGCCATTTTGAAAAGTATGACACGAATGCTGATTAAAAATTACAAACAAATTTCCCCGCCATCCAAACAATCAGCAGAGCTCACTTGTCGAATTTGATTGACATTGATATGCCTTTAGACTTGCCGCTCTTTGCTTATCCAAGATTGGTAATGAGAGCGTTTAATTCATTTTGTGGTTTAAGACGATTCGCCGCACTAAATCCTCATTTAGCACGGAACACAATAGCTCTGAGCGAAAAAGCGACCCAATCACTAACCAAGATAGCCATAAAAGAGTCGCTTTATTCCTAGATCGGCCTCAACTCGTTTGGGGTTTTCACTACTCATTGCAAGGCAATCAGAAACGATTCAGCCAGCTGCACTTAATTACAGCCACCGTCGACATGTGTGAAGTTGCCATAAAGCACGTGCTATCACCCGGGGCACCGAAGTGCGCTTTCTGATTGGTGCGGTCTCGTGCGCCGTTGTGACGTCCTCTCCCGAGGGAATTGATCGCTTCATGCGCCGCCTTTTGCTAGCGGCTTCGTTTGAAGTAGTTTTTGCAACCTTACCGCACTTGAAAACACTTAGGACCCAAATGCGGAGCGCTTTCGAGCACTGTGAACATTTTCTCGCGCGAGAAACCTTTCAAGATCAATACGTGGAGGGCAAGATCGCCGATCGCGTGGCCTTCATTTATTTACGATTTTTCAGTAATCGCCTTCAACGCACATTTTGAGCAGTTCATCGGAGCGTCGCGAGTGATATATGTATTTGAATATTTGCTTTGAGGGCTCACCGCGGCTTACGTTTGATCTCTGCGAGGCATTCTCTTAGTGAGATCCGACGAACAACTGTAGAGCAGGTTGGTGGCTCAACTCGACTGAATGCGGACCGCAGTTCTCCGCGATTTGGAATTATGGATTTGAGGCAAACACATTCGAAAAGCTTTCGAAAGGTTTATTATGATCAGAGGGAATCACAACAGAAATCGAGTACCGCACGTGAAATGCTACTGGCCGGATCAGCGGCCGACTACCCCACAACTATGCGACCCCCTCCAACCGGCGAAGATTCGAACGACAGCGAACGCTCTAAAGGAAAGTTAGGGGTTTCCTCGAAGCCTGAATCGTTCCATTCAAGCTCTCGAATGACTCCAGGGAGATTTTCGAAGAAAGAATCGATTCCAGTGCGAGGTTTTCCAGGACTCGATTCGGACGAAGAAATGCTTGAGCGGGTAGGATTTGAGCCCGAGGGTAGCGCCGCTTCAACTCCGCAATTTGAGCGATGGCCGACAAGTTTGAGCGATATGCTTATGGATTGTCAAGGATTTAACTCTTTTTATCAATTTCTACGACAGGAGAAGAAAGAAAATCTCTTAGACTTCTGGCGGGCAGCGGAATCGTTCAAGCGAATGGCACCGATTTCGTATGAACTTCGAACAACCGCCAAAGCGATTTTCCAGAAGTTTGTTTTTGCTGCGAGTTCTGACGCTTTGGAAATCAGCGATACAGTTAGAAACGAAATAGCACAGCATATCAATGATCAGTCTGTGGATTGTGGACTTTTTGAAGAGGCCTTATCAGAAATCATGGTGAACATGAAAAATAATCATTATCCTCGTTTCATGAACACAAGCCTGTACAAGGATTGTCTCCAAAGCGGCGGCGAGAGTCCTAAAGATTTAAGCTTATGTGAACGCTATCCACAGACACCGAGATTCCATTGTGGATATCTACCTACTCTTCCGGAAGAAAAAGTTTTAGGATTTGACGAGATTGAGGACGATGGAGACCAATTTGAATTTGAACAACATCGCAAAAGTGTGAAAGGATTGTCTCATTGTGGAAATAGACAGGGCTCAGATGAACACAATGCGCGGTAAGTGACTCGCTCAATTTCCACCATAACAAACTGCTTTTTTAATCTTGAGCTCAATAGTCTGGCAATGTTGCCGGATTTTTACACTTGAAATATCTTATTGAGTTACTCGACAGTTAAATCTCTCTGTTTGAGTGTAGTTATCAGCAATTTACATTCAGCGTTTCCCGAATATGATTGGGCCGTTGTTCAGCAATGTTATTGCAATTTACTTGCTCTTGTTTTTGAGCGATAATCTTACCGACTTTGTAGCTAATGAAAGCATGAAGTACAGATATTTTGTTTTGGTTTTTATGAGAGAGATTAGAGCGAAAATCGTAAGGATTACCCAATAGAAACAGATATTGCTTCTCTTGAAGTTTACGTTGGAAACTTTGTCAACTTTCGATTATGTACGGTGCCTTGTGTACAAACCCTCATACCGGTTAATTGAGACTGATGTTTAATTTCTAAAGAATTTTTATCCTTTACAACGGAAGTGTTACAATCTTAATTTAGAATGTGCACTATTTACTCTGTTTTAGTCCTTCGTTGTCAGTTATAAGCCTTTTTTACTAGCTTTTCAAATGTTTCTGCGATGATGTTGAAGTTGTTTGACCTGATCCCGATAAAATTAGAACTAGTGAAAACTACAAAAGTAATTGTCATTCTCTTGGAACTAAACGCATTGTTTCTGTGTTCGAAATCAATGCTGTTCTTCGTTCCGGCGAATGATCGCTCGCCGTGGGAACAACATAAGTGATCGATCAACAAACTCGGAAATAAAATTTGGCAAACTTTGTGTTATATAACTAAGTGACTTTTTTTTTCAATACGGAGAGTCTTTGATACCCCCCGAAATGATTGCAAATCTGTTAAATCTATCAAGTTTTCTAGTAAAATTAAATTATGTGTAAGATGAAAACGCATCAATCTTTTGACTTCAAATGAACTGAGCATGTTTCTATCGTAAGATTGATCGCTTTGACCGGTAAAGCGTGCTGGTTGTATGTTCAGTTATTGTGTAGTTTAGTTAGAAGTACTTGTAATTTGGAGAGGGTGTGAATTCCTATGTTGCTGTTTCCAGCCGTGAGCGGACACTCGAGAAGCAAGTATCGGGTTAATGAAAACTGACGGTTCGAGGTGATTGTAACTTTCCTAAAGACTCTGTTTTGGATTTTAACAGGTTTCTTTTGATTCCGTAAGGTCACTTGTTTGGCTTCCATATTTATGAATTCTTGTATCAAGTTAAAAGCATGACAAACAGTCTGAAGTGAGTGGAGATGCTAAGCAATAAAAGGCAAATTGAATCTGTGCAAACATACATTAACATTGGCTACTTAACTTTCATCGCATAATTGCAAAAAAATTCACAAATCTGATCATAATAACTTGGCCAGATTGCAGAACGGAATGACTGTTTTTTGCCATGCATAATCTTTTTTAAAAGAAGCTGCATTTCTTCAGATGCTTTTTTGGGTTCCGTTGAGTGTCATAGTCTAAAAAAGTAATCATTGAAGATTATGCAAAAGCTTGGTTAAAGATGGAATATTGTCGATTGTTTTCAAAACCTAATGTTTTTGTACCCTTGAAAAAAGTCATTTCTCTCATTGAGGATCATTCAAGCGTGACCCTGAAGTTAAGAAGGATGTTTTTGTTCCCATGGGGTCAACAAGCCAGTAGTGTGCTTGATGTATTTCTCTATTGTTCTCCACATTTTTTGCCTTATCAACTTTTAGTGTTTCCGTAAGAGCTACTCATAGCTTGAAGACATGCACGCTGTTTCAATTGCTTAAAGCATGCGACTAAAATCATGGGCATGTTTGTGCAGAATGAGGCTTCAAGTTATTCTACCAAGACAATTTTTCCTCTGCAGCAAAGATCAAGCCTGCACTTCTAAAACATTCTTTAATTTGTTTTGACACTACATTAGCATATCTATGATAAAGAAGGAATTGTAGAGTGTTTAACTTTTTTACTTCAACCTTTTAAATTTGCCAGGGTGCATTTCTTTTGGGAGAATCCAAAAATTATTAGACTATCAATATCTCTTTTGGATTCACTGCAGTGAAAGAAATGAACCCAAAATGGTCTCCTTAGGCTGACAGAAACATTAATGCAAACCCCATATCCTTGCTTAAAGAAATGCACAGCTTGTGAACCCTAAAAACCTAGATTTCGAGTCGGTCTAATGAATCTACTCAGAGTCTGACTTCTTAAGATTCAGAATCCATCAAATCCGTTTCTGGATTCAAGAACCTGGATTTCGATATGCTCATAGAATCACACCCTTTGCTTCTCCTTCAAATTATTTGGTATTTAAGTATTAAGTGAACATGTTTTTACACTTGACCCCCTTGTGCCCATTTTCAGAGTTGACCAGGCATCTGACCTTAAGTGAGGCTTTTAATACAATCAAACCCTGTCAATAGGACACTGAGTGGACCATAGAAAGTGTGTATTTTAAGCATGTCGAATTTAGAAAAAAAAATGTAAGGGCTTTCTTTCCCAAGGCAAACTGTCCGTAACACAGTGGAACCTCGATATAACGAAGGGCCAAGGGATGGGCAAGATTTGTGCGCTACATCAAGGTTTTGTTATATATTTGCTATAACAGCAGTAAAGAAAATCGTTTGTTATTCTGAGGTCTTCATTATATAGAGGTTCGTTATATCGAGGTTCCACTGTAATGAGGTGTCCTTATTATAAGCGGGTGTCCTCAAAGTGGGATTTGACTGTATTTGAGTGTACCCAAGTAATTCAACTGTAAGTGAAAGTGACTTTCACAAATTCAAACCAGATGGTTTCCTGTGACAGTCCTAGCTTTGACTTCACAGCTCTTGCTTCTCATGCCTGTCTTAGCTATCAGTCATTATTATTATTATTATTCATCCATCTCTTCATATTTGAATTGAACATAAAGATTTCCTTCCATGTAAAATTAACCATGCCATTGGCTGCGTGTGTTGATATAACTTTGCTTAGTTACCAGGCAAATTTTGTAAGCACATGCTTGAACCAACACCAAAGTTTGTTTACATCTTTTAACTGCTTCTTAAGTGTGTTTTTTACTAACTTCATTTGTTGAAAAAAGTTAAAATAAGTAATTAAAACTGTAAGAGCTGTTTTGTGACAAGTATTTTAACAAGAATGAAAGTGTTGATGTTGCACATTTCTCGATGGAAAGAACCTTTTCTCCAACATCTCTGTTTAACTTTTTCATGATTGTCAACCTGATGTCATAAGCTAGCAGTCTTAAGTCTTGGCTTATAGCCAAATAACTAAGGTATAATTAAAATGATATGATATGGTATGGAATGGCCATTTAAATGAAGCCTTCCAGCACCTCTTCTATGGCATTTGTTTCATTTACAAAAATATGCTTGGAAGTTTTGAGGAATATGGATTTTTGTCATTAAAGGGGAAACCATATGAAGCTGTGCTCCCTTCCTAGACAAGGCTTGTACTTGGGGGAAAATTTTGAAGTAGTGCTCAAAGTCCAGAAAGCTGATTAAATCAGGGGTCCAATATGGCAAATATCATATATTTTTTTCTGAATGCAAAACAATTCCTTATGTGCCCAAGGCAACATCAATGCTTATCGTGAGGGGTCAAACTCACAAACATTTTTTCCTTGTGCGGGAAGGCCAGTTGTTCATCTGTTTCAAAAGAAATTTTCAAGGTACTTCTCTTGATGCAGTTCTTGTTTTCTTATTACTATGATGTCTTTTTCTCAAAGTAGGATCCTGTTAGACTCCTTGGTAAAATTTTACATTTATTGCCCTTTTAATCACATTCTCTGTCTCTAAAACTGTTGTTTAATTTGCACCCTTAGAGGGCTGATCCATTGCAGACTTCCATTGAAGCGGTTGCTGTCACCATATCAGTATCCTACAGCTCCAGTGGGGTCTAGGATTGAGTCTGAGAACCAAAGCCTCTCCAGTGATGCTATGACGGAGGATACTATGTCAGTCACTGACAGTGCCTTGACTGAGTAAGTCAACATTATTTGACATGTACAAGCTTAATTATTAGAGGCATTGTGAGTAGCATGTTCCCAATTGAGATAATGTTGGCTCAGATTGCAATGGAAGACCTTTAGCATCCACGGCATGTTTTTGGGCAGCCACTGAAAGACAGTGTGCAATACAAGGACAGAAATAGAGACTAAATAATATAATGTAAAGCAAGCAAGAGGCCAGAAAAAATAGAGAAATATCATTCTCAGCACCTAGAAACACTGGGATATTCTGCTTGAATGTGTTTTGAGGCTGCCTCTGTGAGTTTCTAGTCCAAATGCCATTTCTCCCCTTGTCCTTTTTTTTAATCTAATCAGTGTAATGGATGGCAACCTCGAAATATTATACTTGGCTGAGTTGTGGGGTTTCGCTAGCCATGGGCAGATTGCTCTGTTCAGGAGCTTACTGGTCTCTTATCCCCTGGTTTCCTCAGGTTCCACTGCTCAAAGTCAGCCATTGGCTGAATTTTTTGTGCATACTGACTGTTGTTGCATTTTGCAGTGATACATCATCCAGATGCAGTGATGGAAGACGCAGATGTTCTTCAAATCGAAGGACAACTGCAGGTCACCATGGTGGACTGGCATTTGCTCCATTTATTCCGGTGAGTTACCCTACATTTAAGTGCAAGAACTCGCAAGGTGATGTCAAATGTTATATTTATGGATGAGTTTTGAGCAAAGAACAGAGTTTTGGATGAAATATTTTGAAGATGATGATTACACCCTTGCTGAAGGGACCTGGAAAAGAAAGGATACTAGCTTTATAAGAGTCGAAATCTTTTTGTTCTTTGCCCACCGCATTGTATGCCATCCAGCAAGGTGTTTTTGTCCCATGTGACCAATTCTCTGCAAAGGCCACATTATGATAGTGGTGTGGGTCTTATGTGATGCATGATAATTACATGCCTACAAAAAAAAATGGTTTTTTGTAGGGTAGAGGCAAGGTACTAATATCATTTCTGTTTTCTCAGCGCACACAGCGTGTTCCAAAGGACGCCAGACATCCATTGGCCAGTAATCCTCCTGAATTTGCAAGAGTCTTGACAGAGAAACTAGAGCAGGTTAAACTAGAGCGAGAAATTCTTGAGAGAGAAGCCAAGAACTTGACTTCTCATGGTTCAGAGGTAGGTCATCTCGTAAGAGGCCCTGTTAGAGTTCAACAAGGTACATGTCCTTAAAACAGCGACATAAGAGGGTTGGAAAAGCGGACAAACATCAAAGTTGAAAACGCTGGTGCTGCAGTTTATGTTGGAAGTTTATGTTGTAATGTCTCTTGAACTTTGATCTAGTGTAACTCAGAAAATAGAAGGACGTTATTAGCTCAGTGTATGTGGTACTCCAGTTTGAAGTTAGTACATCAAAACTGTGTCCTTAAAAGGAGAAGAAAGGCTCTTCAGTTATGGTTTTTTCAGTTGAGGGGTGCCTAAGTATTAATTTTTGTGTTTAAAACTGAAACACTATGCAGGCATTTCGTAAGTCCATGTCTTTAATAAAATCAATAATCCTGAAGGGCAGATATAAAATACTGTTTGATTTAGTTCGCAAACAATTTATTAGAGTCTATTATGTTCTAGCCGTTGCTTGACATTTCGATTTTTTATTCTGTCTTCTTAGGTGCCCAAAAAGTCAATTCTCCAACAAGCCATTGATAATAGCAGGAAAAATCCACTTAGCACCATGGCAATGTCAGTTGTTCCTGATCCTGCAGTACCTTACAGGGACACTCACCAGAACAGTCGTGTAGACGGTGGAGTAAGGAGCTCTGCCCCTAGCACATCTGCAGCAACGGTAGCTAATGACACTCGCAGTAAACCTACACAACCTCAGCAAGTGCAAAAAGTTAAAAAACCAGCTCCAGAACCCAAGGAAACAGTTGTTGATCCAGAACCAAGCATGCCTGTCCCTACCCAGGAAGCTGATGTGTGGGAGGAGCGCCCAAGTCGGAAGGATGACCACATTCCATTCCTAACGCACAATCACCAGCGCATCATGCAGTGGATGGAGGAAGGTGAGCAAGCACAGCAGGGTTCTCCGAAAGAATCAAGGCATCATCGTCATCACTCACCTTCCACGAGAAGTGGCTCAAAAAGTAAGCAGTCAAGTTCTATGAGGCATTCTGAGACGACGTCTCGGCATCTGCCCAGTCAGCCCATCGCTTCTGACCCTCTTATGCCTCCTCTTCCTGTGCCGCATGCATCGTCTGTTCTGGAGGAAACAAGAAGGAGGTTACTTGAGGCTCAGGAGGGTGAGAAAAGAAGTAAACATCATCAAAAGCAACGGTAAACACCATTTTGTTCTTACATTTATTTATTTTATATGAAAGTTGGGATCAGTGTAAAAGGGACCCACCTTGCTGTCATGATAGGAAAGTATGAAAGCACCAGAAGTTAGTTCAGCTGAAGAACATTGGCTTTTTTCACTTGTAATTATGCTTCCAATTTGAATATGAGTCGTATTACTTTCAGCTGGTGGATAGTTGTCAATAATTGACCTCCACCAAAAATAGGCAATTCTTTCATTAAAGTTTTGTTTTTTGTTCCTGAACTCTACATTTATTTGTTAAAAATGAAGTAGAAGATTCTATTTCTTTCAAATTGTGTGGCTCTTTAACGGCGGGGGCTCTGTTGAAGTTTTTTTTTCTACCTTCCTAAAATGTTTGAGAGTTTTGTTTGTGCTCCAAAAGTCTTCGTTATTTTAATCCTTACGATACCCTTCATTGCAGATCAAGTTTCTGACCACACATGAACTTAACATTTTTTATCAATGTATTATGGTTTCCCTTTGAGGAAATAGAAGTTTTTTCTCAACAAGATACAAACAGTTTGAATTTTTCAGTTGCAATTGGACATGCCTCTAAAGACAAAACTGCAATACCCTTGTTGATCTAACCACCCACAGTCAAAACTTTGTAGACAAAACAAAACTCCAAATTGGATAATTTAAAGACTGGAATGGCTGTGATTATCTCATATTGATTGCAGTGGTCCTGACAGAGGTTTTGCAAAATTTTAGTTCTGTGGATTCTCTTCCGTATCGTTACCTAAAGAAGGCCACTCGGTAGCCAACCATTCACTAGACTAAAAATGTTATTGTTACGTTTGGTGCTTTGAACTTCCTGAATGCAGTTGACCCTCTGCTACCAGACAATTAGTGATTTTCTTAGTGACATTCAATCACTACATTTTAAACCATGTGTAAGTGGAAACGTTCTTCTAAGTGACATTATTTCAGCCTCAGGGGTGTCTGCTTACAGGAGAGCTGATTTTATTTTTGCCTGTTGCTGAGATATCTGCCTGTGAGAAAGCTTGATGTGAACGTGCTGCAAGTTGAGATTTAAAAAGTATCCCCACAAGTGTTGATTTAATAATTTCTGTTTTTCCAATCCAGGTGCCACATTGTGGGAGAGCCAGATACGTCAATACACAGAGAAAAAAATACAGCAGGATCTTGTTGTTCCACTAAAGACTTTTCCAATTATGGGCACATGTCTGGTGCCCCTCCTGAGAGGCATTATAAAGGTGCAGCCCTTGCTACAGGGTCATCTGCTATGTCTTCAGTGTCGCGCACTGATGCAGTGGGTAGAGACAGTGGATCTGGAAAAAAGAAGGAGAAAAATGACAAAAATGAAATCATAATCACATACTTTTTATGGGGAGAGCCTATTCCTTATAGAACAACCCTTCCTGGAAGAAGTGTTACACTGAGACAGTTTAAAGATCTGTTGCCTCCAAGAAGAGGAAGTTACAGGTGAGATGTGGTCCATAAATTGCATGTGTAGCAGTTTTTATTGAAATGCAATAACTTATCAGTGTGAGTAGGGCTGTCACTAAGAGCTGGGTATACGATAGACTGCAAAACAGCCCAGGTTAAGAACGCACGTTTAAGCGGTCAAAGAAAAGGTCGGGAGTGAGGGTTAAAACAGAGAGTAAGACTGGGTGTGCTTTGCAGGAAAATATCACACCAGCGATATGGGCTTTCCAAACCGATTTTGAGAAGAAAACCGACTGTTTTGCAGTCTAGGTAGATGAAATTAATAGCCAGGGAATTTCTCTTGGTTCTATATGCCTTTTGTTCACTAGGGGTCATGCTCATAGTAGCCAGGGGGAAATCGCTGGTCACTAGCCCTTATTGACACCCCTGGTCGATGTGTATTGACCTATCATATGGTTAACATGGCTGGATATTGACCGAGGGGCGGACAGCAGAGATATCTAGCCATACTAGCTAAACAACATCAAGCCCATGCAGTTAGGTAATCAAAGTGATAGATTTTCTTCATCTTGCTTATACAAACAACATCAAAACAGCTTGTAGAAATAGCTTCTGTCAAATTAACTTATCTTCCTGTCACAGGGTATAAGCAGTTTCTTTGAAGGTCATTTATTAATTCATTTTTTTGAGAAAAGCTTCCAGAAAAGTGAAGGTGAGGTTCGATGTGGTTCTTGGTTCAGCTTTTTATGTCTTTCATTTTTTTGGTTTTATTTTGTACAATAATCATTTGAGCAGAAATAAAAAATTCAACCAAAGACAACAGTGAACCTTAACATAAGCAACTAATCCCGAAATTGTATCAATGACAAAACCAAAAAGTACTTCATGATGGTTTTCACAACTTTATCAGGAAAAGACTCAAAATTCTTTCTTTTTTTTACAGATTCTATTTCAAGCGATCAACAGATGACAGAGACTGTGAAGGACCGGCAGTTTACGAAGAAGTCAAGGATGACAATGCTGTTCTACCTACTTTCGACGGCAAAGTTGTCGGAAAAATTGAGAGAGTTGACTCTTGAGTTCCCAGAAATTCTTACAGTTTTTAAAGAGAAATTGTACTTTTAATACTGAATGTTTTATATTCAGAAATGATTTTTAAATATTATAAAGAATACAGGGTCTGAAATCCCCACCGGAGGGCCAGAGAATTGGCGTTACGTTTGTACATAAACTTATAATATATTTGTAAATGATATGTTAATGTTGTATAATTTTATTGTTACCGAGATTAAAATATTATTTTCAATAGAAATCAGCTCTTGTTACTATCTTTACCAATCACATAACTACAGTCAAATCTCTCTAAGACGTGTCCGTCTTATAGAGAGTAAAATAAAGGGACTAAACGAAGGCAGGGACCAACTCTAGGTGTCCGTCTTGTAGAGGTGTCCGTTAAGAGAGAGTCCACTGTTTTCCCTATAGCTTCAATCAGCCTTTTCCAGGCGTTCAAATACCGTAAATCCTCTATTAAGCCCCTCGAGGTCATTTATTTCAAGCTCATTTGAGGGGGGGGGGGGTAATAGAGACGGGGGGGCTTATTTTAGAAAATACGATGGTATCAGTTCTCCATAAAGAACTAGAATACAAAGTGGAAAAGCTCAAGTACAAGAAGGTTGGAGGTCCTGTAGCCTGTCACACATGCGTTTTTAGGGGAGCTCGTGTTTTATCCGTCCCAAACACGCCTGCTCAATTGAAGACAACACTCCTTTTTCAAGCTTGGCCAATTACATTGTACTTTGTTGGGAGGGATGAAAAACGAGCTCCCCTAAAAACGCCTGCTTGGGAGGCTAGAGGTCATGCAGCCGAGGATCAGATTCAAATCCGAACTCCCAGTTGGTAATATAAATAAACCACCCCGGATCAGTCCACACGAAGTTTTTCAGTCGTTTGAAGTTTGAAGTGTATTAATAAATACATAGCAGTTTCAAGACTGAATTGCGTATTTACGTTACAAAAATGAAATTATAGATCTAAACATTGACTAATCTATCTTAATTAAAAGGAATTAACAAGAGAACAGATGCTAAAAAAAGTTATCGAAATACAAGCTGCGAATTCGAAAACTCTAATCTATATAAGTTAGCTGCTTTAAGACATGAAAACGTGGCATGTTAAAAGGTCGCGCGCGTTTTAATGAATAAGTAGATTCGTGCGGTGCAGGTAATAACTTATAAAGGCGGTGATTGTTGACATTTACAATTGTGTGAAAAAGTGACTCACATATTTCTTCATGGTGTGTTCCTAATTCCTTATAGTTCGTAAGATCAAGAGGCTCATGATAGCTAACACAGGGGCAGATGATGGACATTGCTCTCTTCTTTACACGTTCCAATTCTTGCATTAATTGTGAGTGAAGAATAATTAGGAGAGGGGAGGGGGGAACTTAGTCAGAGATTTACGGTAGTGGGGACGGCGGAAAGAGCGGGAAAAAAAGTGAGGGATTGGGGTATGGATAGAGGGTGAAGGAACGCCTGTTAAACGTCGCTCCTCACTCCCTCTTCCTTTCTTCCGCTCTCTACTCTTACGGTTTAAATACTTTCATACGCTCCCGTAGTTCCTTCAAAAACCCTACCCGAATCCAGACCATAATGGGCAAAGTACTAGTGTATACCCGTTTTCAGACCAAAAAGGCCAAAAAAACCATACCCTTTGGGGCGGCATAGACCTATATGGCTTATATACGGGAGTACCCCCACCTGGTATTCATCTCGGTTTGGGTTAATCTATCTTTATCGTTAAGTAACAATTCACAGTGATGGGAAGCCTTTGTGAATTGAAACATATAAATAAACTTTAATTTTTCAACACGAAGGTGCGGAAAAAGCAACTAAGATATTACGTGTGTGGTAATCTGTATGCCAGAAAATTCTCATACGTGGTTATGACGACCGGCGCCGCGCCGCGCCGTGGCTTTGGCCTTCGGCCTAGGAGCGTGCTATTCTGAAACTGAAATAGCTGTGAACAGGCTGCTTAGAGTCTCTTTTTGTCTTTTAAATATTAAATTGAAAAGGATACAAATTTAAGAGAATACACGAAAATATTTCTCAGGTGAAGTGAAGATTATTAAGTTCATTTTCCTGCCATTTCTCGCTACTTTGCGGAAACCGCCGAGAAGAGACTGATGCCTAGCAAGAAACAGCTGACTCACAATGAATCACGGTATAGCGAAAATAAATCCAAAATGGCGGCTTGCAAGAGTGTTGTTGTACTTTGTCCAAACGCACGTCGCCAAACCATAAAAGTAAACCCTACAACCACTGTCCTTCAGGTATTGTACTGCTTACATGTGTTTCTTTAGCTGCATTTTAAATAGACGGGTAAAGATCGTGATTTAAATACAGAATGAAGAACATGGCGTGTTTCAGAACCGTCTAAAAAACCTTTAAACCAAAAGAAGTCTTGGTAAGTTTTCTTCACAGCCCCCAAAAATTTAAGTTGCATTCCATTTTCAAATCTATTCATAGTAAACGTCTGTGTGAAATTGTATGAGATTGCTGCTTGCATAATAAGCTTATAAAGTACAATCATATGCATGGGGCTGTGCGGAAATCCTACTTAAATTAAAGTCTCGTGTCGGATTTTTGTTTGTTTGAAAACTGGCGTATTATGCTCATTTTAGGTGCTTGAAGAAGTGTGTAGGAAACAAGGCCTTTCGTCGGAGCAGTATGCTTTGAAGTTAGTGCACATTTATTAATATTATTGGTTAAAATTTTAATTGAGTTATTCACATCTCAGTATGTACGGTACAGTCTAACATAGGACTGCTTTTATTCATTTCATTTTATTTATAAATTCAATAGAACAGTAGTGTAAACATATCTTACCTGTGTCTAATGAGAGCTGATTGAGGTGGGTTGTTTCCCACCTAGATTAGCTTAATGATGTTTATCAGCTTAAAGTTTATTTCAAGTAGATCTCTAGATATTGTAATGCACTGACTGCCAAACAAAATAATGATTTCTAGAGCTTATTGCATTTATTCTTATTTTGGAATATTGTCATTCAGTAGAATTAATTATTTGGTTTCTAGAAACCGAAACAATTTCTTGTATATAGAGGATATGACATGGCTGAAGATACGAAATTTCTCTTCAAGCGTTGAAAAATATTTCACAAGTAAGCGCAGTTAACGAGTGAAATATTTTTTCAACACGAGAAGAGAAATTTCGTATCTCCAAGCGGCCATGTAATATTAATGTTCTATTTATTATATAAACACCAATGAAATACAAACCATTTCACTTTAATAGTTTTTTGGTGTGAAAGGCGCAATTTATTATGAAGCCATAGCAACGGTGATATTTTCACATGTGAAGATAACATGTTATTTTCACATGTGAAGATATCAAGTTTTTACGAAAAAGCTCACTTGTTATTTCATTGGTGTTTATATAATAACTATAGTTCTTTGACGAGAACATTATAGAAAGACAAGGGTATGTGTGTGTGGTCTTCTTGCCTCCATTGCAGCTGCAAACTTCAAAAGGAAATTCTCACTCTCTAGTATCTGTTGATATTTTCTCCCACCCCTTAGCGGCTCTGTTTATTACATGTACAGTATTTATCTGCCAAGTCTGAGTGTATTTTCTCATGGTTTTACTACGTCTAATCTAGTTATGCCATATTGGCATTTAAAAAACAAAAACTTGTTATGTGACTGATCATTAATTTATCATAAATATTGTTCAGTGACATAATTTATATTTACCAATTTTAATTTACAATTCTTGCTTATTCTTACTTTGATGTTGCCTTCTTCTTTTGATTATGATTAAACAATCACATAGTCCTCCCTTCTGCTTTGAAATGAATGTTATAAAAGTTGGCATAAAATTTGTGACTGAATGCCATAAATCTGATAATTTTAATAAAATAGTCTTGTTTCTTACCAGAAACCAAAGAAAAATTCTTGATGATACATTACCTATCAGATATTCTGGTTTGTCCAACAATGCTCATTTGGAGTTAGTTACCAGCCAGAAATCTAAAAAAGGTAAGAAAATAAGTAAATAAATTGTCAGCATCATTATATGTGTGTGTTCTACCACATGTAGTTACACTCTTACAATTAAAACCAATAATAGTTGAAAACAGTTACTTTTTCCCCCATTTTGTGATGAAAGCAGCGTATTTGCAAATCAGGTTGAAGAAAAATTCGAAACTCATTTCTGGAAATTTGTTGAGTGCATTGGGGACCCAGAATAATGATATTGGCACTGCTTTGCAGATTATTTTGTTACAACAAAGATGATTCTGATAAAAATATTACTGGTTATCCAGTCATTTTATGTGTAGTGCATATCAATAAAGTTTAACGTTCTTACCAGTACAGTCCACCTCTACTGTGGGGTTACAGCTGGAGTCAGGGGAAAGGCTTGTGAAGGAGTTTCCCTCATCATCATCTTTGTGGGATGTTCTATCTTACTGGGATTCAAATCAGGACAGGTTAGAACTCATTCCGTAGTCATTGTTGTTATCATTATTGGTCGTTATTATTATTATTATTACCATTATTATTATTATTATTTTAGTTAAACCTCTATGAAGAGGCCACCTATTAAGCGGCTACTCTCTAGTAAGCAGCCAGTAATCAAAGTCCCAAAATAACTGTAGAAAAGAATGGGAAATTAAATCTCTATTGAACGACTGTGGCCCCTTTTTGTCCATCCCAACGAGAGGCCTACCATTGTTGTCACTTCCAGTAAGTGGCCATTAAGTGCTTGATACACTTAGTTTGGCTTTATTGTAAGAATATGATGAAGGAAAATACAGTCTGAGATAGAAGGTGACGACCAATTTTGGACCAGCAATGCTGATTCTGTCGTGTGTTTTTTTCAAAATAAAGTGGTGTTTCTGCTAAAGATTATACTCATGTTAAGCTAATTTATGACAAACCTTTATTGAGCAGCCAACCACCATTAAGCGGCCACTTGCCAGTACCGTGAGGGTGGCCCCTTAATGAAGGTTCGGTGATTGTATTATTATTACCCCTTATGTTACTCAGTAAACATTGGTATTGTTAGCAGTTCTTGTCATTTATACACCCTCTATCAGGTAAATGACCTCAGACAAGCAACTTTTACGGGATGTTACCTGTACCAAGCATTGCTGATTTCTGCAACTCTGGAACTCATGGTTTAATCCTGAGTCTTTCATCCTCATCATCATCATTACTTCTATTAGTTTTATTATTATTATGATAATAATCATTATTGCATTCGCTCTAGAATTCACTCCTAATACAGACTCGAACAAGACTGTATGGGAAGGAAGTTGTTTTAACATTTATTTTTTTGTTTTGTTCTAGTCCTCACCAAGGAAAGATTATAAATCCTACTCCTGAGGAGAATAAAAATCCAGTCTGTGTTTATATGACTCAAGAGGTATGATGAGTTTTGATTACTTGTCCAAGACTACCAGATAAGACTTTTTGTCAGCCCTGCAGATAAGATTTGGATATTGTTCCAAAACAATAGACCTTTTTAACAATGCGGTGGCCATATTAAATTTGTTAGATTTAAGGAGTATTATGGGATGCCAAGGGGCACTCACTCAGTATTTACGTGCGCTTTTTGGACAAAAAGAGAACTTCACTGTATATTTTGATCATTATTACATCCAAACATGGCACAATGATCTTTTTTCCCCATTACAAGCTTTTTCTAGGAAAAATTGGCCTTAACAGCGTGCATAAATACTGAGTGAGTATATAGGATGAGTATATAGGTGCTCATGCCTCCTGGGCATCCCATAATACTTCTTAAATCTAATTAATTCAATATGGTCACTGTATCAGTAAAAAGGTCTATTGCTTATATTTGAGAAAAAATGGTTGTGATGACGATTGTTAATGTCATTCAGGATCAGGAGAAAGCTGGCAGGTATATGCTGTTTTCTTCCAGTATCTCAGTAAGTGTACTCATAATTCATTTTACACAGATCAAGGGAGGAAGCTCTCTGCAAAATACAACCTTACACTCCTTAGGTCTAGCTGGAAAAAGAGTTGTTATAAGGTACTTAACACAATTATGATTTTCTATTAGTTCTTAACTGACCCAATGGCAACTGAAGTTTTTCTGGGGGAATTCATATTACAGAAGTACAATAGGACAAACTGTTTAAATTCCAAAGAAATTCATGTGGATGGAAGGTTGTTTTTCAAACTGATCTGACTAACAAAGTGAACTTAATGCAATTTATTACTATTACACTATGAATTAATAAAGCAAGTAATTAATTAATTAATAAGTAATATTGATAAATTAATATTGATAATAATAATAATAAATAATATTTTTAGAGGAAGCTCCCATCATTTTTAGTGGTTTTCAGGGAGATCCTCTGACTAAGATGTAATAATATCAAAACTACTAATTACAATCAAATATAAAAAGCTAATGGTTAAAAAGTTTAAGGGCTAAAAAGGCTACATGACTAAAAAGACTAAGTGAAAAATTACAATCAGACTAAAAGATTTAACTATCATGAAAATACAAAGGCTAAAAACTAAAGAAAGATTAAAATGAAAATGTTATACCCAGTAAACTAAAATATCTGGCTCTTAAGAACTTCTGAAATCCTGCTTGTCAGAATTTTTTTCAGGCTAGTTAAAATGACTCTTGGTCTAGACATGCTCCAAAAAATGGAGCAGCTGAAGGGCAAGTTGTAAAATTGCCTTTCCTAGCACCTTGGGTTTTCCACACAGCTCATGCTGGGTAACAGGGAATTTATAGGTTCAAGTTTAGGCTTTCCGCAATATTTTTAGAGCGCTGTCTTGCAGATAATTTCCCCATCTCCCAAGAATGTTCATCCAGTTTGGACTTCCTAGCATCAGTTTTTATAATTCAATCAACAATAATATTACTTTGTAGGTCTTGTTGATATGTTATTTACTGCATTATTTTATAGGCTAATATACAGGCAGTTTGAAGAAACAGCTGAAGCAACAGAAATTGTAGAAGCAAAAGAGTTGAAAGGTTTTGGATAAAACTTTTACTTGCTTTTGTTTTCTGTTAGATTCTTCACTGGTACATGTATGTGTGTTTATATTCTTTAATGTTAGTGTTCTTGAAAAAAAAATTCATATCAGCACAACTAACATCTTGAACCATGCTGATTTGGATATAAAATGTTTTTCCTAGAAAGGAAAGGGCCAACCTCTACAAATCCAGTGCCCATGACCAATGAACGATGTAAAGAGAAAAAGACAGAAGAACATCAGGCTGTAAACAAAACTGTTGTTACAACAGCAACATCTACATCACAAGGCTCAAATCAAAGAACACTTAGAGAAGTACAGAGAGACGTTAAAACAGATAATTCTTCAAAGACGCCATCTAAAGATATACTTGCACAAGGTGAAGTAAAATTAATGTCAAACTGCCCCATATACATGGATCCGCCACTACTCCAAATGCTTCTTAGAGAGGGGAAAAAATCAGTCAACACTACATTGTGGTAAATGACAATTACTGCTATTCAGCTTCTGAATGTGTAGATGTCCCTCTTGAGTGTTTGTCGCCAAGACATTGTAGGCTGTCTTTAAGGCTCCCTGTTGCCCAATATAATTTGAGTCCCTCAAGTCGTGACCCATCCTTCCTAAATAATTGCTGTCCACCAGTTTGGCATAATAATTTATACTGATAAGAATTTCAAATTCATGAAGCAGAAGACCTTGTTCTAGGTTTCTGTTGTTAAACTGTCATCTAGGACATTTGCTAAAAATACATAATATTTGGAGGAGGCAGTGTGGCCAAGTGGTTAGAGCACTGGACTTGCAGTTCAGAGGCCCAAGTTCAAGTCCCACTCTGACCGCCAGTTGGATTTGGTATGGTAGCCTCAAGTTCAAATCCTCGGCCACACTTGTAAAAAGCCAGCTGTTTTGCCTCCGGCCAGTTGGGATTTTTAACCCTGTTAAGTTTCATGGACAGTATTATTTTTCTGGTATTTGCTGGGCCCCACTAGCATTAGTGCTATAATTACTGCTGAGGACTAATAACGGAATATGATTGTTATTTTTATTATAAACAGAAGGTGTAAAGGAACCCAAGAGAGCAAGGAGAAGCTCACCCAAAGCTCCATTTGCTGATTTCAAAGTATGCAATTTATTGTAGATGAAAAATATTAATGATTAATTAATATTAAATTATTAATATGATTTATCTTCTTATTTTTGCATGCAAACAATTTGTACACATTTTCTTGTTTCTTCACAGCAGATCGAACACAATGTGTCTTTCTAAGTTTCTTCACATTAATTTTTTAATTATGCCTTTAACGCTTCATTTCCAAATATATATATGTATATTTCCACTGCTCTCTAGGCACGTCTTATGCCTCTCATGAGGAGGTACTCCAGATTTCAAGAGATGGGGATGATCGAAGAATTTTTTTGAGTTTGAAATAAATTTTTGATTCCGGATATTATGGGTATTCAAAACAATCTGAAGATTCATGGTAATGCCCGCATATGATAACTTGACATGGTATGATGAAGAAACAAACACCAATGTTCAATTTCTAATGTTTTCCTTTTAATAATATATCATTAAATTTTAATGCCTTCTGAAAATTTTTAAGGCTTGTAAATTTGGCATGGGATCTTTTGGGGTCTTGTGTAAGCCCTAGTGATTTTCTTGAGTTCAGATTTTTGGCCTCATTTAATCATCCCCATCACTTGAAATCTGGAGTACCCCGGGTGTTATCCTTGGTGACTTTTTTGTTGATTCGTGTGGCCTTTATGCTGAGTTAACCAGTGATTTTATAACAAATCCAAAAATGATGGCTCACACTGTTTTGGCTTAAGGCATCTTCCTTGTTTTTTATTGACTGTTAGTTCCCTGAGGAGACTGCTGGAATGGACTTGATCCAGAGAGAAAAGTGAGTGGATCATTATTGTCAGGTTATTAATTTTATCTATTCGAAAATTATCTCAAAGAAAAGAAAAACCCATCCTACAGGATAAGCCTTACAAAACTACATTGTAAGATTAAGGGCCTAAATACTAAGAATCAAACTGGAAAGTACAAAAACTGCAGCATAGCTATACCTGTAGAGGACAAAATGTGCTTGGTTTGCAAACAAAACCAGATCAAAGATGAACAACACTTTTTGATGTTTTGCGATGGGTATAATTTACTGCGACAAAGGCCATTTATTTGTAATTCATTATGAAAAGAATGTCTCTTTAGTGAATCTTTATACCCATGACAAAATTAAAATATTTGTTAACAGCAGACAACAACAATCCTTGGAAAATTATTGCCAAATATATTAATCTTATGTTCAAAAAGAGAAAAGAATTACTGAAAATGTAACTTGATAGAAAACCTTTGATTATTTTATTTTGCATGTATCATTAGACATTATTGTTACATTAATGTAAAAGAACTTTATTGTAAACAGACCAATACCTCCTTATGGAGAGTAAGGCACAATAAAGATTTACTCTTACTGTTACTGGTTACACTGTACCTACTACTTGATAATTATTGTTTGGTCTTTAAATACTTTACAAATCTTTTTAAGAGGCAAAAATATATAAGTCGGTTCCATTGAAGCACAGTTTAATGTACCAATCTCTTATAATCTTTCTTTGAAAAATCACACCTCATTCACACCTACACTTTTACATACAGTCAAATCTCCATGTGGAAACACCTCTCAAAGTCGAAAACTCCCATAAGGGAACATCCAAATTATTTGGTTATTCACTTGTGGCAGGTTTCGACTTTAAGTAAATATTTACATGTATAACATTTTTAACATTACCTGTACTGAAATAATATTTCTGAAAGAGAGAATAGATTATTCTCTCTTGATTTCTAACGATACTTAAGTACTGATATGTCTGAAATGTGCACTCACAGAAAACATTTCTCACTCAGTGTCCATCCTGACCACTTTTCTTTCTTTTTATTGTTGTTTAAATTCTCTTTCTCTTTTTCTTTCTCTCTTTTCCTTTTGTCAGGGCTGACTCATCACGCAGAGAGTTTTTAGCTTCAACATGTGACAGGCAGCCTGTTGTGTTCAGTGAAGAAGACCCAGCCTCACCTAAACCTGTTGAAGGTATGTGTCCGCTTTAACCCTCTCCACTTGAATGGGTTTCAAAGGAAAAACTTCTTGAAATTCTCAAACTTTATATTGTAAAATACTGGAAAACAATACTATCAGGTGAAGACACTGCCAAAGAGCTTTCATTTTATTGGTTACATCACAGGGTTTTTTTTCCTCAGTCTCAAACAACCACCACTGGGGTGTGTCAACAGTGAACACGAACCGTGTACGACTTTATTTTGCCTATACACGGAAAATAATTAATAGTGAATGTAATAAATACGCGGAAATTTTGAACAACTTATGATATTAAAACTTACAAACCAATCTGAACCATGCTTGAACTGTGATGACAAAATGTACATGCCAATTCTTGTAGTAGCTTGCTTGAAAATACTTATATGAAAAAATGGTCGCCCTTTATCAGTGGGTATTTAATTTTAAGGGGGTAGGGACTGTTGTATGACATGAATGAGTACTTACGAAAGTAATGTAGTAGAATGTACATGTATATCCCAGCCCTCTGCTATTGAAGTATTGTTGTTACAGCATACCATGAAACACCCATTATGATGATAAAACACATGTTACCCGTCAAATATAGCGTTTTGAAGGATATTCTTCTCACACACCGCTCAAATTGCGGTCCTTTCGCGCGAAAGTCGATTCGTCTGATTTATATACAACACTCTACAACAAGATAAACCTACTTCTCCAAGATGTCATTTTAGTTAACCTTGGTTTCCACATGTGCAGTCACCCTCTTTCAATGCTTATTCCTTTTTCTCAGGCTTAAAGAACGACAAATACACTTTGGGCGAATCACCTTAGTCTGGGCGAACTGCCATCAGGCGAAAAGGCCCGATCCCTGCTAATTTGCGTCCCTGGTAGTATCCCCGATAGTTCGGGATGATTTTTGCCTCAGTGTCTGGATATTCAGTGGGCGGATCCAGGGGAGGGGACCGGGGGGCGCCCCCACCCCCCTTATCTGACGGTCTGGATCCGCCACTGATATGTGCACCCTAACATTTACATGATCCTCATCTCACTGCAGCGCGAGGTTGAAAATTCATTCCCGGGTGAAAAATCCCACCCAGGTTAACATTCATCTTACCCAGCCCTAGACAAAGAATTCATCTCTCTCCATTTTACTAAAATTGGGCACTGCCTACATATTGCTGGGAAACTTGGACTAGCGTCCCTCCCAAGAGCGAGTTGTCACACCCCTAGGTGCTTTATGTTAAACAGGGGACAATCTCCGGCTGTGCTGACTTAGCTGTAAGGCTTCTTTTCCTTCTGTTTAACTTGGCAGGTGAGATTCCTGATTCGTTCTTTGAAGTGTCAGTTGATGACATCCGTGTAATGCTAAGAGATTTGAAGAGCGAAAGGTACTAATAATGTGGTGTTTGATCAAACACTATTTTTTCTGTTACCGGTAGTCCAGTAAATTGATTCCGGCCCTTCAATAGGTGACTGTTTCTCATCGATTAATAGAATCCGCCTTGAGCCATCCTAGTAATGATGTATGATTGACACACCTGGATTTAATCAACCTTGCCCTGCATACCACTTCAGCAAGGTCGAGGCTTGGGTGGATGATTTCATACAAATCACTGTATTCTGTCAACCTAAGCGTCGTGTTGGTGCCATGGTCATATTGAGAAATGCGGTAAAGATCAGAAACCTTCAGGCCAAACCATAATCAAAAGTTTGAGGTTGTAGGATTGAGAAAAGTGCCTGAACTGCATGGGGAACAAGATAAGTACCCCCAGGGTTCCACCCTTGTCCCCACTGCTTTTCCCTTTAAAAAAAGGGAGGGACCCCTCTCTCCCCTCCCTGGGGACAAGGTTGCCCTGGTAAGTACTCAGGTATCTCCTTGACCTTTCGTTCACATGCGTGGTCGTGACACGTAGTTGTCAGTGCACCTCTGTGGTAACAATATTACTGATTGGAGGATTAAACTGTACTGTACTGTATTGTGCTGTACAAAGCTATTTAACTAGTCCCCTGGGTTCTGCGCGCGTTTCTCACCCTAGGAATTGGAGCAATCCCAAGCCTCGCGGACCTGTCGTGCTCATGCAAAGGGGATAACTGCACATATCTGTAGAATATTAATGCCTCTTTTATTATTGTTCTTGCGTGAATAATAGAAATCAAGCGGGCAGTGCCCCTCTTATGACAAGAGCCATGCGTGAAACGCGAGAAGAAGCAGAAATGTATAAATATGACAAGGTATATTACTTTAAAACTCGACTCAAATGTATAAGTATGACAACGTATATTACTTTAAAACTCAAGGAATTTATAACCAGCAATTTTCTAACACATAGCCTGTGTAACATGTGGAATTAGCGGTCGAGTGCTGTCGTGTTTTCGGCGGCGGAGCCCCAGGAAGATCAGTAGCGTGTCAAATTGAAAGTACCCCGTGCATAACAATCCTGCCAGCTATGCAGGATATCTTATACCTACAACACAATCATAGGCACCCAATGATATGCAGAAGGCACAGTAACTGGATGGTATCTGATTCTGATGAAGTATATTATTCCTACAGTAATTCCTGTATTCTTCTTTGCAGGTGGTTGTGCGAGTTAAGTTTCCTGACAGACTGATTTTACAAGCGTTTTTTAGACCAATGGAAACAGGTAAAAGTTTTGTGGTAATTTTTTGAAAATTGACTTTATTGTTAAGCGATGCATGAACCTTCCCCACCATTTTTAGATTTTTAGTGAGACTGGATCTGGATTGTGTCAGTTCTGGAGTACAACGCAACACCAACCCTGGCCAATACTGGCCAGTACTATGTGAACAAGAGCTAATCTCGTACCTAGGTCTCACTCTAACGCGTGTCTATGAACGGAGTATGTGGCAGTTTACCTCCTGGTCATAGACACTGGCTCATTGGTTCAGAAGTCAAATACCTACTCCGCTTTTACATTGTCTGAAGTGTCGAAATTTGTTGTCGCTAATGATTATTTGTTCTTTAGTTTCAGCTGTCACAGAACTTGTCAAATCTCACTTACAAGATCCAAATGTAAAGTTTTATTTGTGTAAGTTTAGCCATTTGTTTTTTCTATGGTTTTTGTATTTTAAACCGTACATTAGGACGAGGTGTTGTTTATTAACTTTGAACTTCTATTTTTCCCACAGACATCACACCACCGAAAAAAATGCTCGACAAGCCCAATGCAACTTTGTTCGAAGTGAGTGATTAGCCTGTTGATCTCTACTGCTGTATAGACCGCATTTCCTTTAAAAATCCACACATGCGCCTCCAGTCATAACCAGAGTTTTCGGTACTATGGCTTTGTAGCGGGGCGACTTTGTAACCAAACGAAACAGCAATAGGGAAGGTTATATTGATGCCTTGACCTTTTTCAATGATTTCCTCGCTTAGATATCGTGATATAGTTAAATGAAAAAAAAGCACTTTATTTGAGAGTCAATGTACTTAGCATTAAAGCACTAATTGGGGACACTGTATTTTTACGTCTCCTAGTGTAGACGCGACAGCCTGTTTACGTGGTCATCCGAGCCACGCGAAGGTCTAGCCATTTGCAGGGCAAAGGCAGTACCTTTGGTCCGATCCCGGGAATTGAACCCGCGACCTCCCGCTCTGCAGTTGAGCACTCTACCGACTGAGCTAGTCCTGCCGCGGTTGAAAGAAATATTTTCATTTTCATTTCGCACTTTTTTTTAGAACAAATTATATCCGGCTTCAGTTATACACTTCGGATGTCAAGAAAAACGGGGTAAGAAAGTTGGTTTTGGTGTTCTGTATGTAGTACAGTGGAACCTCTATTTAGGGGACACCCTTGGGACCGAGGAAAGTGTCCCCTGAATGGAGGTGTCCCCTGAATAGAGGTTAGGGCGGTTTTTGTTTATAGGGACTTTAAGATCCGAGGATGCGACAGCGGCGAAAACGTCGGCATAAAAGAGATTTAACTTGCGCTCTTTCAGTCTTCATCGCGACTTTTCTTACCCACTTACTTTGTCAAATGTAGGTGAACCCCCTCAGGAGTTGAATTCGTAAGAATCATGTCCAACTTCAGAAAGAGAAATAAAATTTCTTCGGCGCTTGTTCACGCGCAGTCACTCCATAAAACGTTAAATTGGTCATTTTCAGGCCGTATTCGTGCAGAAACGGCAACGAAATGTACAAAAAAGGGTGCAAAATTTTTTTTATTGTTGTTTTGCTTATTAAACCCATGGCTCTTTTTGACGAACTTGTTGCCGTCGCGTCGTCAGATCTTAAAGTCTCTAATAATTAACCAACGAAGTCAATGTAAAAACAATCATCATTGACTCATTTCTGCGACATTATATGTTAAATTCACACAGGTGCAGTACATTGATTTAAGTTAGATAGTTCAGTTCATGAAAGCTGTCAGCATGGTGACTAGTGTACAACTAAAGAAATCAACCCTCATTGTGGTCAGACATTTTTTGAGTGCTAAGGTGTCCCCTGAATGGAGGTCAAACTCAGGTTTTGGGACCCAGAACAAGTCCCCCTTCCCCCTGAATAGAGGTGTCCCTTCAATAGAGGTAACAAATACAAAGATTATGTGAAAATTTTCCTAGGGCCAAATTTTTTGTCCCCTGAAGGGAGTCGACCCTTGAATAGAGGTGTCCCAAAGGAGAGGTTCCACTGTATACAAAACGCAATTCTCCCCCCATCTAGAACATTGTTATTTTTTAACTTTGTTCCTCCTCTTTTCAGAACACTTCCTAGCGAGCAGATTTGTAGAAAATCCGTCGACAGTTGTGGATGCCGAGAAAATTGTTATAGAAGCTGGGTAAGAGCAGGCCTTTTCCTAGGTGTAAGTGAACAGCTGTAGCGGAATGGGACAATTAGTTGCCCTAAGGTCCCTAGCTCTGTTTGTTTTTTTGTCTGCTGAATTCTGCCTTGACCAAGTTCATAACGGTGGAAGCTTTCTCCTTAGTTGTAATTATAATGACAATAGCAACGAAAAACTATCTTAACGTTTTCGCTCCCAAAGTGGATGATGGAGTCTGGTGAAATCCTTTGGTGTTGCCATTCAAATGAAACCTCTTCAGCAGTACTTTCACATACTACTATTTATTCAGCACCTAGTTCTAACTTTGAGTCTGTGGATGAAATCCTATGATGTGACCATTTAAATGAAACCTCTTCAACAGTACTTTCACATGGTACTATTTATTCAGTATGTAGTTCTAACTTTTGAGTCTGTGGATGAAATCCTATGGTGTTACCATTCAAATGAAACCTCTTCAGCACTACTTTCACATGGTACTATTTATTCAGTATGTGGTTCTAACTTTTGAGTCTGTGGATGACATCCTTTGGTGTTATCATTCAAATGAAACTTCTTTGGCGGTACTTTCACATGATATTTTACAAGATGAAGTTTGAAATTTTGTTAAAGTTTAACTTTGGCCACGTTTGTTAGTGAAAGGGTCAATATTGTACGCTGTTTCTGCCGTGATAGCCCTTAAAACGCCTGCTTCTTTCGTTTTCTTTATTTGCAGTGTATTGTCAGTTCGAGCCTCTCCCAGGCCAGATATCGGTGACTCTCTTGTCAGCTCATCCACGGCAGAGCCAGGGACATCTTTTGCCCCTTACACGTCACGTGACGAGCATGATTCTTCCTCTGGTAACAGGCCTCGTGTTGGAGGGGCCAGTAAAGGACCGATCCCCAAGTGGTTTAAAGGAACAGGTAAAGGAGTATTATTATAGTCCTTCTTTTAATAGGCCTTTTCCGAGTTGCCTCAAGCCTCTGTTTCAAAGCGAGGCTAATTGCGAAGTCTTAAATGTGAAGATGGTTTTTATTCTTAGGCAAAGAAAATTCATTTTCACAACAAAGGTTTGGCACTTAGCCTCGTTTTGAAAGTGAGTTCTTGGAACTCGGAAATGGCCTATTTCATTGTTACCGTCTCAAATATTCATTTGTTGGTATCCTGTGTAAACATGTCTCGCTTTGTTTGTTTTAAAGGAAAATGATACTTATGACTGCATCAAAGGGACTGGGTTGCTTACACGATCGCTGGGCTGTTTGTACTGCCGTGAAGACCGTGGAACATTAGATCGAGCAATGCTTTGTTTTCAAATGAAAACACGAAAAAAAAAACATTGTTCTTTTCTTATTTAACATGATGGTCCAGGTCGAGGGTACCCTTAATTCGGATTTTTGGTGGCAACACCGGAAAACTGTAAAAGTATTTTTAATAAGATTATTTAACATGTTCAAATACAATTAATTGATAAACGAACTGAAGTCCCAGTTGTATCATATATTGGGAGAATAGTAAATAGCTAACTTTAGAGGATACTCTTTTTGGAGATAATATCTGGTATAAAACTAATTTGGAAGTATTTTGGCGTAGTTTAAGTAAAATTTATCCGAGTTTGTTCCTGACTTTTACCTAGCGGGCGGCAAGCTGTTCCAAAATGCAGTCGGCTCTCTTTAATGGCGGATCCAGATCTTTATATAAGGGGGGGGGAACCCTGAGATATGGGGGGCCCCGGTCTCCCAAAAAATTTTTCGGCCCTTCGTTCGTGCCTCAGTTTCATCTAAAAATAGGGGGGGCGGGCCCCCTCCCCTGGATCCGCCAATGCTCTTTAAGACGGTACCAGTGGGACTGGCACTATGTGTCCGTCTGAGAGAGATGTCCTTCTTATAGAGAGTCAAATAAAGGGAGTAAAGAAAGGCATGGATGAATTCTAGGTGTCCGTTTTATAGAGGTATTTCCGTTACGAGAGAGTTGACTGTACGACAAAGAAGAAGTAGAAAACGAGAATTTGGTCGTTAAATGTTTCCTTAAAAGAGTATACTATTAATAACCAAAGGTTATGGAGTGCGGACGACAACGATCGAAAATCCAAACGCTCTTGCTCCAACGTAACCTGCGGTCATGTGTTCTTCTTCCCTTTTTGTTTTAAAAAAAAGAACGCATGATCGCAGGTTAGCTCCAACGCTGTGCTTTGCGTGAGTTTCACGTGACAGAAGTCAGGTGAAAAGTCTCAATTTGTACGCTCACGATCCATATGTATAGAAGCGCAAATGATTTACCAAATTAGCCCCAAAGCTTTTCTACTCGCATGAAGGTTTACCAAAGTCATTAAAGCGCGCTTTAGGAATACATGGGACTCGTTTGCGCGCGCAAGAAATGCGAGGAAGCTGCCATGGCAACCCAAGCTGTTTTGATTTTGAAGGTTTGTAAAAGTAGGCGCTGGCTGATAAACGAAATTAACGGTCGCCCGTGATGATAGCATGAGACAGACATCACCTTTTTTGCCGTGATAAAAAGGAAAGGTTTTTTGAGAACTGAAGCTAGAAAAAGTGTTCAACTCCTCTGCGGCAAATATTTAACATATGCGAGCAAAGATCGTTTTTCCTTTTCTTTCGAAACAAATGAAGTCTTACCTTGAGGTCTTCCCCTCTTTGTCTCAGATCCACTGGAAAAACGTTATTTACCAGCAAAATTTCGAATTTTCCATGGTCGTGGTCTCAACAGAATTATTTTTCTTTGCGCACAAATCGCACAACTCGGCCAGTTGAAGGAAAGATGGAAAGTAAATTTTTGACGTCACAATGATCCGTTATGACGCAGCCTGCGCGCGCTTATCCACGAACACCATGTCCTAATAAAGAAGTTGAATACCTACCTATTGCTTAATGATTGGAAAAAAAACTTTGCAGCGTTCGTGTTGAATGTTTTCTAGCGCTCGGTGGCAAAATGAACGCAGAAGGACACCGCTTCATCAGTGTGCCTCTGTTCTGTCCTTTTTGTGCGCTCTTGTTTTTAAAGCTACAGTAAAACGGGCAACAGAAATGTGCAACTGGTTTTGCAACATTGCTGCAAAACGAGTTCGAAAGCGATGTTATGCGTTTAACCACCCACGTCCGAACCTGTCTTGTACCCAGGCCAGTTCGCGCTATCCGAGTTACCAGAGGAGGCTTGGAACCGAGTGCGAATTTTCCCGATAAGCTTGACAGGTGACGTCCATCTGAAATCGCCGAGGACGACTGGGAACGAGGCTGGCACGACACGTCTTCTGCAGCAGCCTAAAAAGGTTCTCACTCAAATAATTCGTCCCCATCCATTTTCAGTTACCATGGCAATTCATATGCTTTTTATTTACAGCTTTAGTTGACCCAGGATGAAAGCTATCCCCGCTTTGAGAAACTCGGCCTTTAATCCTTGCACTAGTAAACATCTTTATCATAACCGAAGTGAACCTTTTAAAGTTTCCCCTCATTTTATTTCTTGTTTAAGTGTTGCTTCCATGATACACTGATTTCGCCAGATGAAGAGGTAAATTTACTAGACATTTCCTAGTAATTTGTCAGTATCTTGCATTCTCTTTATATGTCACTTTTCGTGTGTTAACTTGTTTAGCGGTCACACAGAACAAACACGATCAAACAACTAAATATCAAACGTCTTCTCACTCTTGGGTTAATGCTATCTCATGCTAACCCTATTCAGTTACTCTCATTTTAACTTTCAACTGATTACTGTCCTTCTTTTTTCTACTCATTGTACGAGTCCATTAATGGCCATTTGCGCCATTCATTGCTTTTCCTTTCTGTCGCTTCCTCACACATTCTGCTATGACATCTCTGATGGTTTGTTCCCCTAGAAGCGTGTTAAATTCGTTCAAATCTGCCAAGCGATCAAACGGCTTTGGTGGGTAATGGAAGTTGAACGTGCTGTACCAGCTTTCAGGGTCTTCAAAGATGAGAAAATCACCAAGGTCTTTTTCTTCAGCGGTTTTACGAGGAACTCCTGAGAGAAAATTATCATTGCAGTGTTAGCCTTAGAGTTTTGTTCACTTGGTTTTGACTCATTTAGACGGGAAACGAGGTGAAAGAGATCCCTCTTTTTCTTCCCGCCTACCACAGAAAGAGCAAAAAAGGGTTTGGTTATCGCAGTAAAAGGTAATCTTGTGCCCAGATCTCTTGTCGACGAAGCCGACAAGAGATCTGGGTACGAGGTTAAATAAAAGGTGCTACAGTCAATCTTCATAAGGATTCTACTCTATGAGACCTCGAACCCTCCCCAACCCCAGTGTTTGGATTGGCGAATGCAAGGGTAGTCTGGTGCAAGTGAGAGATCGTGGGGTCGTTTGTGGACCGCAAAAGAAACGGAAATCTCTCGCATTTTCGTGCAGAAACAAAACGTCTGGCCAGGAGAGGATGTCCTCTCTTGGCTTGGTATATCGAGCATGATTTCATTACAGTTGACCGCAGCCACCCTCGCACCCTCGCAAACGCTCTCACAATCCTTCACTCGGACCAGACTCCTCATATTTTCTAGTTTGAGACATTTAGAGTGTTTGAACTCCTTTAAAACCAACCTGGACGAATTTGCTCCTTAAATTTGTTGTTGGCAAGCGCAAAATGAATCACGACGGGGCAAGTTGGATCACTGGGATCTGAGAACACGTAGAACTCTTTCAAACCGTACAAGTTGTACTGTTCATTGGCGTTGATTGGCGGGAATTTGATGTTGTTCTTCTTAGCCCATTCCTCGGCCAGTAGAAGTTCCTTAGAAAAATAGCATTTTAAAAGACAATGAAAACTAGTAGAAAATCCTCAACTTGTTAAGTCTAGGCCCGGCTAGAGATGAAATCCTAACTGGTTATCATTGCCCTTCCATAGGGGAAAGAAAAAATTTATCTTGTACCCAGCTCCCCGCATTGTCTTGCTCTCCGTTTCCCTCGGCCGTGGGCGGTCTGGGTACGAGATTAAGGAGGAACAGCCTGATGCTCGGTCGATTCTAATGTCATTTTACGCGAGGGGGTTAAAACTAAAACACACTGAGTGGAGGATTGTTCCTGTTGCGAAAACCATTGAATGGTTTAAACTAATGTGTAGTGGCACGGTGTTATTCTGTGTCTTGGTAACCTTTTTGTACTGAAAAAAAAGTTTACTTCGCTATAAACTACTGAAAAGTAATAAATATACTTAATTAAGTAATTCGTTAAGTATCCAATAAGCTAGAGTCAGTTCATGAACATCGGGAGCAATTCTTTGGATTTTTCGTGCTATTTCATGTTGTATCCGGGCTTTAGTTGTTATTCGGGATCCTAGGTTTTGTGCCCTGCCCGTGCGCATACGTAGCAAAGAGTCATATAAGAATTTTGGAGCCGAAATAAAAGGTCTTCGTGTTGAGTGATCACTTTTCAGAATCCAATGTATATGCTGCCTGCTACAATGTTGACGGGTCATAACAATAGGCCTTACCTGAAAGGGGGTCATGTCTTCCCTTTCCCGAGCGCTAAAGTCAAAGGATAGATAAATATCCACTTCTCGCTGCGGTCTCAACAGCAGAGGGTATGGTGAATTCATCATGAGTCCACTGTCAACCAAGAAAAGGCGCTTTGCCTTCACTGCCAGCTGGGCAGCTGTTTCAGTGACTTCTTTTGGCTCTGTGGTAAAAGTTTATTGTCTTGTGAGTCAATAAGCACTCATTGTCTGGTCCCGAGTTAGGGTCCAAGGATCACGTGATAACGTGTCGCCCAGGGGAGTTAACGAGTTTTGTCTCGTGGCTCGTGACATGTTCTTTGTTCAATCGGAAAACGCGCTTAAATTGGGAGATGTAACAGTCTTTTGTACTTTTACTGGCGAATTTATTGATTTGTTCATGCTCGCATTTTAGGACTTGCGATCTTCTTAAGGGTTTATCTTTTTTCTTTATTTATTGATATCAGCGTGTCGAATGGTGCGTTATTTGAATCAAATAGTTTTCTATTAACATCGCGAGTGAACATGGGTAAACAAATACACCAAGTTACGGTAAAGGATCTATAAAAGAAGTTGACGTACCAGAAGGGATTGGTGCAGTCATAATCTGCAGTCCACGCAAGAAGTTATGCACCAGACCTGCACGACCAGCGCGTGATTTCAGGAATGAGACTTTTTCAACAAATGATTCCATCATCGATTTCAAGAAGCTGTGATCCTCGCTCTCTTGTTCCATTGGTTCTTCCTCGCTTTTTGCGTCTGTAACATCCAAATCATGCTCTTCGTCACTCTCATCCTCATCATCTGGGTCAACTTCATCTGAATTGATCACGCCATCTGAGATATTGACAAAAGAACTTTTATTCATTTTTAGCCTGCGTTGCAGCCAGCCCACGCATCGTCTACAGCTGTTCCAGAAAGGTTGTCGGAAAAAATGTGGGGGCGACAATCCCGAAAGGTAATATGGGATATGATCAACACACTGTTCTTAACACCACAGCTGTCGAACCTACTTTTATTGCTTTCCTTTAGAACTCGCAAACATAAGTCCATGGCCTCTCGTGCCATTAACGTTCAAATTTCTTTAAAGTACAGCGAACTCAAAACCACCCACAATACCTTTCGGGATTGTCGCGTAGCTGTATACAGAAGGTTTAGGGAGTCTGCAACGCAGGCTATCATTTTTCAGTCTTCCGATCTCTTTCACTTTGATAACGTATTGAAAGCAGAACACTTAAGATGTGTTAAAATCAGTAGCGGATCTAGGGAAGGGGCCCGGCCTCCCTGCCCCCTCCTTTATTTTTAGACCAAACTGATCCCCCCCGCCCCGCCTTATCTCAGGGTCTGGAAGAACGGGGGGCCCTCCTATCTGAAGGTCTGGATCCGCCACTAAAAAATTCAGCATGATAGTGAGTGAGAGGTTTAACAGGGTTAATGAAGGGAACTATGAAGTACTTATAGGAACTATGTCGCGAAATTTATAGTCAAAAGTCAAACGGTGGAAACTGCTAGCAACCTGAGTGAAACATAAAAATTAAACCGCTCAAGACAATAAAAGAGGGTATAAACACAGCACATACAAAAGGAAGTGCGGATGGACAAACTTGAAGAAGATTGAAACGGATTGAAATTGTGGTTTTTGAAAACTTGTTAGCGTAACAGATTTTAAATTCATTTTTGTCGTTTGTAACATCTTATGATATGGTTTGATGTAATGCTTGAAAGACATGCGTGCTTGACAGGACGTTGGAATTTTGTCATTAACAAGTAATTTTTCAAGTTTCAGAGCGAATAAGGACCCGTAGATTGACCCGTAGTTGGTATTTAAGCAAATTGCTACGGCGGTTGTGGATGCGGAGTCCTTGACTACGGGGTTTGTCTCTCACTTGCTTTCGCTGTTAGTCGCAAGGAAGACGTAATTACTGGAAAACCAGGGGTGTCAAATACTTTCTTGATAAAATGAAAAACAATCTACGAACCAGTGGTTGTAAAAAAAAAATAGGAGAAAAGTTGACTTTTATACTCAATTACCATAAGACCGGTCTTCATGTTGTAGGATTTCGTGCTACGGTGAAACTCGGCGGAAAGGTCATTTCCAAGCATGCGCAGTGCGTCATTTTTGGGCTCTTTTACTTCCGGCCGCCGTAGCAGAGGTCGCCTTAGCGGTGTGCTTAAAGTCGCTATTATCAACAAAAGGAACTAGAAAGCCTTGGCAAAGCTCCTTTGAAGAAGGGAACTATGTGATACTTACGCAGCTCGTCTCTCAGGTCACCCGTGTTTTTCATGTTCTTAATCGTCTTCTGAGGGGCTTCTCCTTCATGAAGTACCCGTTGCAGAAGTATGGTGAATGCACTACCCCAGATGCCTGCATTGAGAAACATGTATCACATCATATCGTATCGTCCGTATCGTGATTGTATCATATCGTTAGTTGCTTAAGCGCAATAAATTTAATGGGAAACTGCTCCTCAATCTTTCAGTTCCAAATCGACATGATCTGGCCAGTGAAAATTTTTTAAAGAACTTGCGCCGGAAAAAGTCGTTTTTGAAAAACGAGCACGCAAATTGCATACCGATGACGTGTCACTACCCAGATCTGGATGGAGCTTCTGTTTGGTTGGAGTAAATTTTCCTTTGCGACACGACCAATTAGAAGCGCTACCCAGATCTGGGATGTGTCACGTCAGCAGTATGGAATTTCAGCGCTCGTTCCTCAATCGTCATTTCGCGGGAAAACCATTAGTAACGTCACCAGATGTCGGCTGTTTTCTCGCCTCTTGCAACTGTAAACCTGGATTCGTTTTAAATATTATTCCAAGCTTTTTGGATTGCTTAAGGTTAGAAGCAGTATTACATAAGTCTGTTATCTTGATTCAAATGGGGCAACGAGATCAGTGCACGATATTTGAGCTTCCCTGGGCGAGCCAACTTTTTGTACCTTTCCTTCCTGACCAGTAACACCAGTAACACCAAAAGCTTTGTTTGTGATGGTAGAGTCACCCTCGTAGCCGGGCAACTTTTCTCCATATAAACATTCTGGCTCGCCCAGCCTATAGTTCGACTCGCAACACTGTCCAAAAGGATCGAAGCCGTGGGAACGAGATGTTCAGTCACGTGGTCTTGGATGTTCTTGCAGTCAAAGCATGCGCGAGGGCTGTTTTAGACGATCAGAGCCTGCACGAGCACCTTTGGCTCGGCAAGGGCAAAAGAGTCAAATTTTTCTCATATAAACGCTCTTTAAAGTAAACTCGGGTGGGAGGGTAAGACTTCTACCAGGGACAGGATTTCTCAGTCCATGTAAACCGGGCCTTATTCTCTCAAATTTTGTCTCAAGTTGTTAAAAGGTGACTTATGTTATTTTTATGAAGTGATTTTATTCAGGGATATTGCATTATTTTTCACTTACCTTGCATATAATGCAGGGAGGGTTCTTCATAATGATTCAGGAGTTTGCCGCAGAAGAATTTGCTTCCAAAATGTTCAGTCTTCATAAAAGTGCCATATTTTACCATTCCTATTTCGTAAGGGTTAAACTCGACCCATTCTGCGAAAGAGAACAAACGTTTATAGGCAAACTAGTCGATGCAGCTCTTCAAAGTGGTATATTTTAAAATGAGCTAGTGATCAAAACTTATGCAAAAATCATTAAAGTATGCTACTCATCATCGTCATCTTCATCATCATCATCATCATCATCATCATCATTATTAATTATTATCATCATCATTTTGTCCAAAGATTCCAAAGAACAATAACGCAGTTTAAGTAGACAACAAAATTTCCCTATCTCATCTAAGTTGTCCGTATTTAGATTTCATTTTTGTTGTAACATATCTGAAAAGACACGCAGTGTTTCATCCGATATCCAGACACCGAGAAGTGGGTTGAAAAACGAGGCGCAGCCGAGTTTTTCAAGACCAACTTCGAGGTGTCATGATATCGAAAGAAACACCGAGTGGAGTTTTTGTGTTAGCTTCTCAAATGAACAATAATTCTTGGAGAAATTCAAAGATAAAGTTCGCAAAATTTTACGGTAATTCCAAACCACCGTCACGGTTGTGATTTTCTTTGTTTTCTCTTTATGAATTATTAACGAGTTTGAGAATACCATTTCCAGATCCCATGCCCTTCCTGAATTCTATACTGTCTATACTCTTAATTTCCAAGAATTGAATACTTTAAAACCCGTACCTACTTAGTTTGACTTAAACACAAAAAGTTATATCTCACCGCAGAACTTTTGAGCAGACACATCTTTCTTTACATGTAGACAAGTGTATAGCGGAAAAGGGACCGTGCCATCTTTCACAATTTGTTGTTGCTGGCTGAGCGTTGGAATTTCTTTCCGCTTTGAAATAAAAAAGGTAATCTTAGGATAAATTAAGTTGCACTTAAAAGACGCGGTCAACGGCCCATTACTGTTAGTTATTCAGGATTTAAAATTCCCTGATTTGGACACGATAGGGTATACTATTCCAGGGGGGATTCTTGAGGAATTATGTCCTGTACCTCTCGTGATAAGGCCCCCTCCCCCCCGCCTCCTCCAACCCGCTGCCAACTCTTTCACGAACTTGTATAATAACAGGGCTTTCAATCTCGACTTTACTATCTTTTAGTGTATATGTACTCAGCTCACATTGACAATGGCGAATACTGACTGGAGATCCCCTCTCTAACTACAAACGTTCAGTTTCCTCCGAGATAGATGAATTCGCGAAATTGGGCCCCTTTTCTGGATCACGCGCTCATATTTTCGCGTGCTCTTCACTTAGGTGTCATCCCTACTATCTAAGAGCCTGGAAAAGGCTACATAAACTCACGTCCTTTAGAATGGTGTCGCCCACCAGGTACCCAAAGAAGTCTGTAAAGCTGACTGGCTGACCCTTCGACTTCTTCTGCAGAATAATGTTAACGTGCTTGTACATCCAGGATGGAGTCAACAGCAGCCACATCCAGTTGTCTTTCACGTTTTCACGCAGCTCGTCTCTTACTTTTCGGGGATGAACATTCGGCCACTCGGGATGTGAATAGAGTGTAGAGAGGTACCTAAGAAATGGACAGTTGATGTAAGAAATTGGTCCACAAGTGATAGTTGAACACAAGTTAAAAACGCGCGCATCATCCGCAATACTGTGTGGACTGAACGGACTCAAGAAGAGGCATGGTGCTGCGGGGGGGAGGAGGGGCGTTCGTGGGGAGTGGTGCAAGAGCCTTCCTATTCCCCTTCCCCTTGTCATCGCGTCTCCTCGTCTTCGGGTCCCGGGGGGGCACTCGATATATCCTCGGGTGGGGAGGTGCGGCCCGGCCCCTCATACCCTGACCCTGTTTAAGACACAAATCGCTGATTTTCCTACCCTGTTTAAGACAGAATTCCGATTTTTGATACCCTTTTTAAGACATTTAACCCGAAACCATAATCTGTGTGAGACAATTAATAATTAATATCGGCCGCGATCCCGCCGCACGGAAGGAAAAAAACGGATTAATTTAGGTTTCTCAAACAAATTCTCGTGCTCGGGGTAACTCTTACCAGGTCGATCCAGAAAGTCCTGCTGTGTACATAACGCAGTCCAGCAAGCCCATGTCCTTGAGAGCACAAAAAACACCGCTGAGTGACACCATAGCACGGAATCCACCGCCAGAACCTACAACGGCGATTTTAGGGACCTGAAAAAAAAAAACAAAACAAAACAAAGGGTATAATAGTGATCAACACAAGTGCGCCCTCGAGGTTGCCACTCAATATCGATGTTATATATAATATCGCCCCTTGCAAAGGTACACATCTGCACAGGCGCATTCACGGGCTATTCCCTTTGCAGATTATAAAGTTGGAACAAGAATTGTCTTGTCTTCCCCTCCCTCCAAAGAAAAGGATCAACCTAACCCCCCAGCCCTCCGGGGCCAAAATATTATTCTCTGAATACATGTACACCATGTACGCCGAAAACTAACCAAAGGTGAAGTGTTCAGTATCAGGTAGACTCAGCTGTAGACTCGGTTATGTACTTTTCAAACAAAAGAGAAGGATGAAGGTGTTTCCCCTACTATCACAATATCAACCTCAGATTAACTGATCCTGGATGCGCTTATGGCTAGGATAAATATGGGTGCCGAATTCTGCAAAAAATAATCATTCTTGTATCCATGAGGTTCTGGGCTCGTGTGATTGTCGCACTAACCTCATCAATTGTTTTTGGTCCGTCTTTTCCGAGTAGCTTTTTCATTGCTTCAAAGACAAATTTTTCCCTTTTCTGCAAGAATTTCTTTTCCTCTTCACACAACTCCACGCTGTATCGCATATCAGTAGGAGCAGTGCTACAAACAAGAAAATTATTCAGTTTTGACATATTATGATGTTACTCAGTGGCCAGGAGAGTTTTGTATTTATTTTTCCTCAATTCGTCAACCCGGATTCTATACTGCCTAAGTAGAAGAAAGGAAAATACGGTCAACTCTCTCTCAACGTTAAGAGAGCTGATTTTAGTCGTACAAAATACCATTGAAAACAATCTTTTGATATTCAGAATACATTTAACAAAAGTAGGTTGAGTTTGATCGTCCGGGTGAACGTAGCCCTGAATAGGACTGTTGTTGTTGACAGAGACTGACGTTTCGACAACCTGTGCGGTAGTCATCTTCAGAGTCAAAGTGAGTTGTATAACTTTTGAAATGACTCCTGGGTTCAAACCTTTCACAGTTTTACATGTAACAAAGCTAGATATTTCAATCTTACATTACTGCAACTTTCATCTCCACGTCAACTTCCGATTCCTGAAATGTACAAATAGACCTTTAGATACGCCCAAGAAATACATTTCAACAATTAGTTTTAAACACTGACCATATCCACACCCTTGTTCATTCATAGTGCCATTTCAACCCCGTAAATCCTAAGATCAAAATTTGAATTCTCATTTGTTGCCCCTATTCATTTCCTACAGAAATAGTGGGGAGAAGTTGATAAAATATCAAGCAAATTCATCTTGTGTGATCATGTCCGTAATTCTCATGACCACTCTGCTTTACAGAGTATTGATATTATCAGGAGAATTTTGATGCTGATCACTCTTAGGGCTTAAATGGTTGAGAATACCTTGTTGAATTTAAAAGTCTTAAGTAATGGTTTGTTGAGTTCTAGTTCCCCCAGAGCAAATGTTTGACTCGCCACCAGGTCATCATATCCCACCGCGTCAGACTCCATCAGGGTAATTTCTAGAAAAATAATAATTTACAGATACAGTTATTACTAGTACTGTAGCAACTGTGATTACAGTTAAACCCCGTTAATACAGACAGTGAGGGTCCATAGAAAGTGTCCGTAGTATCGGCGTATCCCTATTAAGCGGGTTGAATTTAGAGAAAATGTAAGGGCCTTCTTTCCCCCAGGGACAAAGCAAACTGCCCGTAATAATAAGGTGCCCGTATTAAACGGGTCAGACTACGAGTAGTCCCCCATTTTTCCTCAGGGATAGTAGAGCGAGCAAAACGCGAGCGCGCGTGAAAATCACCCCACGCGAGAAAAATGATTTCATTTTTCTCTCTTCCCGCCGCGTGTCGCCTTTTCTCGCGTGGGGTGATTTTCACGAACGCTCGCGTTTCGCTCGCTCCACTATCCCTGAGGAAAAATGGGGGACTACTCGTAGTCTATAAACGGGTGTCTGGAAGGCGGGTTTGACTGTAATTTAAATTTAATGTTCGTCGCCTGACTGATAACTTTTGCTGTCTGTTGGTTTGGTGCAGTCAACTATCTTGATCCACCGTTTTTCACTTCATTTTGAGAAATATCAGACTAATATCCCGTTGTTGGTTCATCAGTGTTACGTTATCATGTCATAATGTTGAATGTATCAAGTCAAGATACGTCGTTTGACATCGTTAGTCAGCATTGTTGGCAACAATGACCAACAATGTCAAACGTTTAATCTTGGGTATAGTAGGTTGAAGGGGAAAAGTAATTAATTATTATAAGTCACCATTGATTAAATCAGGTCATTTTCTTTTTCTCTCAGAGTTTTTCCGCTTCTCTAGTATTATATTTTTTCTCTTTTCGGATTTCTAGAAATAGCAATCAGTTAAAAAACAGAAGTTTTTCAAACACGACAAAAAACGAACTCAACCAACTTACCTAAAATGTTTTCCAAATCTGGTTCAAGCAAAAACTGGAACGTTTCATCCCAGATGGGGTTGGCCGTGTTACTTTTCACAGTTGTTTGCTTTTTGCCGTTTGGTGCAGTCTTGATGAGCAACTTGACGTATGGATCAGGAGTGTCAACTAAGATAAAAAACGTTGCAAGTACTTAATGAAGGTCACCATAGTAACACAACCACTTGACGTTCGCCTTATACTGCGGCAATCCAAAACGTAAAAGCTTGAGACATCGCCACCACCACCACCACCACCACTACCATCATCACCATCATCATCATCATCATCATCATCATCATCATCATCATCATCATTATCATCACTATTTCGAAATAGATCTAGCAGGGTATTCCTGATTAATAGTGAAATTCTCTTTACAACTGGGAAAAGGGATGCGGTTGACTTGGAGCTGTGCGTACCTCTGGAGAGCAATGTACTTCAAAGCTAAAGTTGTTACTTTCATTGTCTGAAGTACTACCTATACGCAATTACATGTGACTTACTTAAGTTTTTGAAAGTTGTCTAAGAAAGATTTAAAGGTCTAAAAACTCAAATTGAGGCTACTATCGACGCCATTTGTAAACAGAATAGGCCATTTCTGAGTTGCTCTAAGCCTCCTTTTCAAAGCGAGGCTATAGTGCAAAGCTATTGATATGAAAATAAGGTTTTATTCTCATGCAAATGAATCTCATTTTCACAAAGAAAAAAAGGGTTTTGCCCTCAGCCTCGTTTTGAAAGTGAGGGTTTTTGGAACCCGGAAATAGCTATTTTAGGCCAAGGCCAAACGTCGAACTTTACATGGGACGAACTTAACTCTAATTTGGGTCGACCTAAATAAAGTTAAGTTCGTCTGTTGGGTAAGACGCCGAACTTAGGACGCGTCGAACCGATCAACTGAATCAGACCAAAAAGCATTTTTAGCCGCACGAGTCCAGCTAAATATACGTTGTCATACAAATTTTACTATATTACAGTTTAATTCGTCGTACGTGAAGCCCGCCGTTTCTCCTGGAGACGATGTTCAGACGTCCCATCCGTCTGAAGCAGACATAGAACTTGTTGGACGATCCAAACTCATTCAGACGATCCAAACGAACCACACGTCGAACTTTTCATGAACTTAACTCAGTGAGTTTAGTTCGTCCCATAAAAAGTTCGACGTTTGGCCTTACTGGGGCGCAAAGCAAACTCATCTCCAGTCTCCTTCGTAACGCGCACAACGGGAGCAGTGGGTGATGGGAAGGTAGAAGAGACGAAGACTGAAAAAAACTGGTTTCTATATAACTGCTATGATCACTAGAATCATTTAGATCGCTGGACTATCCTTTTCAGTCATTGTATCGATTATGATTTAAAAACCAGGTCTACCTGCTGACTATCGATTCCAAACGTTTTTTCTCCTTTTCGGTTCTTTATTAATACGGTAATACTGTGTCCTCTTCTCTCCTCCATTAATAAAGCCGCCCAAATCCCCCTTGAGAACTTCACGCTTCTAGCCCTTGCTTCTAGGCACATGCTTGCCTTAAGCTGCGGGTATCCCGCCATGTTTTAAACAAAGGGCTTCTGACCAAGCCAGCATTCTAATCCGCCACTAATATGTGAAGCACGCGTCTTTCAAAGTCGCCAGGTACTTAAAATCGGGGTTCTGGCCTGTTATGTACTTACATGTGTCAGAATAGTATCCCAGCGTGACATTTCGACCACGGAGAACTTTAACGTCAAGCGTCAGACACTGGCGGTATGATGCCTAAAAAGTAATTCGAGTTTGTTAGCAGAGAGAAGCTTAGATCCTTTCACTGCTAACTAACTTGCTTAGCTGAAGGTTTCGTTTGGGAAGGGCAATGTTTTGAGAAAGCGAGTGAGCGGCGAAACCGAGAGGAGAGTGGGGCGGAAGCAATGGGCTTTGCCACTCATTTGCGCGTTCGCCAAACAAAACTACCAGCTACGCAGGCAATGTTTTGGTCACTTTTAATAGTGGCCAGTGCAAAATCCAAAGAAAAACGATCACAATAACAATAACGATAACGATAATGATAATGATAACGATTCACCTATATGAAAGTACATAACAAAAAAATGACATACATAAAAAGTATTTAACGCGGAGTACTTCATCGACTATAACAGTGCTTAACAGTTGAACGAGAGTAGAAAATAGACTGATAAGTGGTCTTGAATATGTTTTGCTACTCAGAATGTCATGCTTCTTGCGAAGCAATCATCACGGTTGTCATCAGGCAACTGCTTTCTCCTCCTCTTCCGATAAAAATAGCAGTAATCGAAAAATAGAAAGCGCAGGGGGACGATGGGAAGAAGGAGAAGCCTCTCTTCCACTCTTTCTCCTTCCCATCGTTCCCCGCGCTTCCAATTTTTCTTTATCCCTTGGTTCCCTCTCCTGGTTCCCTACAACACAAAGAGGCTTCTGCCAATAGTAACGGTTAAAATCAATAGACTACGAGTAGTCCCCCATTTTTCCTCAGGGATAGTAGAGCAAGCAGAACGCGAGCGCGCGTGAAAATCACCTCACGTGAGAAAAGGCGACACGCGGCGTCGCCTTGAAAATAATTCCGCTTGCTTCTGTGCGCCATTTGATGGAAAACTGGACGTTCGTATCTTTCAAGATCCAAATAAATGTGTTGCGTGCTTTGTACCGTTCGCTGTATATATTGTCTGATGTAAGTCTTCTTGATCCTGGCACTGACTAGCCTGTGCCAGGCTCTCAGATAGTATAGTGCGGACGTATTAAAACGAGCAAAGCGAAAATAAGACGCGCGCGACTTGGGAAAGGGGGCGGTGGCGCCCTGTCTCTCCCTAGCCCCCGCGCGTTTTTCGCATTTCTTTTTACTGAACGACTTTTCACCACTATTTCGTAGCCTGGAACAGGCTTGGCACTGACTGGTGTAGACATCTCTGCGCTGCTTGGTATATCATACCCTGTTCGTTACAGTTTCCTTCCAAGGGGAATGCGTTGGAAATTCCAGCAATTAAATTTTTATTTATATGACACTGCCATGATTTTTTTAATTCAGATTTTTCATGGTTAGTTATGATTCTGGTTTTTCGAACATCGTCCCCAAAGACCTTTTTTTCCCCCTTTATGAAAGACATGCAGACATATCCATGCAATTCCTGTTTCTCTGGAATCGATTTTTTTATCAGTTGGAATCGCGGAGTGCGTAGTTGATTAGCTTGCGTATCCGTGCATTGTTCCACGCGTGTTAGTTAAACCGCAATGTCGTTGCGCAGAAACGCTTGTCAGGCTGAAAAACTTCATCAATACCGTCACGCATTAGTACTCGTGTTATTTTTTTTACACAGGGTAATTTTAATATCTGAGCAAAAGTTTTTGTTTAGTGAGCACACATATACCAAACAATACATTGCGAAAAGAAAATACAACTTACATAATAGAGTGCATCGAGTAAATTAAATTTCAATTGAAATTAAATTTCCATGCACTTGAATAAAATAAAAATAAAATATACACTTGAATAAAATAAAAACTATATGTAGCAAGTACAACGCAACCGCCAAAACATCAATAATGCTCTAACTGAGCATCAACTTACCCTCCTTAAAACAAATAGAAAATTGAATTTTTATACTACCTTTAAGAACGATAATAAAAAAGCAGAATTCTTAAATATGATTAAAAACCCACTTCACAAAACAGCACTCAATAAATTTCGACTAGGAAATCATCGATTACATATTGAAACAGGCAGACACACAGTACCTAAAACTCCCGAAAATTTAAGAATATGTTATCTATGTCAGACAAATGAAGTTGAAAATGAACTTCATTTTCTATTCTTCTGCAAACTTTATGACAATTTACGTTTAAAATTCTTCAGTGAAATATCTGATAGATACACACTTTTCAAGGACTTAGATGTGACTTCAAAACTTTTATTTCTCTTTAATAGTATAGATCCCTCTGTTTGTAGATCAATTGCTGCTTTTGTTTTTGAATGTATGCGTTACAGACATGATATGTTATTTCAGAAAAGAATATAATCTTTTATTTTGCTATATATTTATAAATGATATATTTGTACTTTATTCA